TGACTTTGTAGATTGTATTCAGACATGATATAGGTCGAAAATCAGAGACCTTAGACGCTCCTGGAAATTTTGGGATAAGAGAGAGGATGGTGGCATTTGATGATGCTGGAAGGAAGCCAGAGTTGAAGAAGTGCTGAATTGATTGGACCACCTCGTTTCCTATAACCGGCCAAGTTGCTTTGTAAAAAGCAGAAGTCAATCCATCAGGGCCAGGTGCTTTGTTTGGATTGAGCTTGAAGAACAGACTACGAATCTCCTCTGAAGATGGCATGAGCAACATTTTCTGAGCTTGAATATCAGTGCAGTGGAAAGAGAGAAGTTGATGAAACCATATAGTGGAAGTTCGGATGATCGGAGGGTAGTATTGCACTGGCCCTAATACTGACTGGAAGTGAGCAACAGCCATCGTACTCATTTCCACAGGGTCTGTGACAAGAATACCAGCAGTAGATAGGAAGGATCTGATCGCGTTGTAGCTGGCTCTCATTTGACACATCCTGTGGAAAAAGGTTGTGTTGAAATCTCCCTCTTTTAACCAGTTAATTCTTGATTTTTGCCTAAAATAGCATTCCTCGATTTGCCTTAGGAAAAGCCAACGCTGGTGGATGTCCTTCTCGTCTTGAAGCAGTTGAGTTGTTGGTGCATTAAGAACCTGTACCTGCACAGATTGTAACAGTTGGTAAGTTTCAGTCACTCTCTCTTGTATTTGTGAGTAATTTTCTTTATTCAAGCGCTTGAGATCCTTTTTTATGTTTTTTAGCTTCCAGCAGAAGTCTGTCAAGTTTGTGCTCATGCTTCCGGCCTGAATCCACGCGTCAAGGACCACCTCAGAGAAATTGGGATGCTTTATAAGATAGTTTGGGAATTTATAAGGATGGGTTCCTGCCTTAGGGAGGTTAAAAGCTAGGTCTACTAGGCAGGGGCTGTGGTCTGAGAACAAGTTTGGGTGGAAGGTAGCTACAGCGTGGGGGTAGGCTGAGAGGATGAGGTTGTTTATGAGGAGTCGGTCTAGTTTTTTGGATATAGGAGATTCGGGTTGGTTGTTGGTCCAGGTTAGGTTTGTACCGGTGTATCTCAGATCAAACAGGCCATTTTGCACCAAGCAATCCCTCAGGTTGTACATTTGGCTGTCTGGAGATGATGTTGAAGGGGAAGAATGTTCAGAAGGGTACATGATTTGGTTTAAATCACCACCTACCATCCACTCCTTGTTTTCGAGATCAAGAGCATCATGAAGGTTAATAAGCTCTGCCCAAAGGTCATTTCTCTCCTCTACTTCATTCGAAGCATATATCGCAGTGTAATAAAAGGGATCCTTGTTAGGGATAGATAACAAGCAAGTGAGAGATTGGCGCGACTGAGTAATGATTCGGACTTGCAATGGATACTGCCAGATCGCAATAATTCTACCATCAGTGTCTGAGGTATGATTCGATGCAAAGTTCCAGTTGGGACAGATTTTGGACATTAGAGGAGTCAAAAAGGGTTCTTTAATATGAGATTCTAGAATAGTACCAAAAAGGGGCTTATGGGTAGTAAGCCAAGAAACAAAAGGCCGGTGTTTAGCCGGGTCATTTAGACCACGGACATTCCAAAAAAAGAGTTTGACACTCATTGGGAAAGTGAAAGTGGCTCCTCTCTAGCAGAGGAAACCTGGGTAACTAATGGGTGAAAAGATGGTTTAGGAGGTAGGTCGGAAACAGAGGAGGAAATAAAAGGGTTTGGGTTTGAAGAGGCTGGAGGCGAAAGGGTAGGGGATGAACGGGACCGTTTGAGGGAGGGTCTAGTGATTACATCTGGTGAAGCGGGTAGCATTAGTGCATGACGAGAAGAGTCGATCATCATAAGGTCAGAGGAAGTAGGGGGTAGGTGAGGAGGAGTTTTTGGGTCAGGGGGTATTGGAGAGGAAGTGTTTGTAGTGGTAAAGGAAGCGCTATTAAGGTGAGAGGAGAGTGGGGGATCAGGTTTTTTAGTATGAGGGTTAGTGTTTGAGGTTTGTGGGTTAGTGTTTTTGGTATGTGGGTTAGTGTTTGAAGTATGAGAGACTAAAGGATCAGTGCCAGAGACTGGTGTGGGAGGGTTTTGGTTAGGAGGGGCTTTCCTCTGGTAAGTAGTTTGGCGAGGCTTTGGAACTTTGGGGTAAGACTCTTTGTTTGTTGCAGGGTCAGAGGGATTAAAATGAAGGCAGTTCCGTACAATATGGCCAAGCTCGTGGCAATGGGTGCAGGTTTGCGGCGTCCAGGGGTAATGTACCAGTACTTCTACCACCTCCCCACTCTGTCGCTCAAATTCTACAACCGGGGGCAATGGTTTGGTAAGGTCGACTTCTACTTTGACGTGGGACAGAGTAAGACTGACTAGATTCTTTGTAAATTCATCGGTTTCCTTCGGTTCACCCACAAGTCCTGCTACCAGACTTAAGCCTTCCTTGTGACGCAGGTCTAGGGGAACACCAGTTAAGTGAGCCCAGATTTGAATAGCTTTAAGCGGTGGAGTGGATTTCGAGTGCTCTGAGGACCACTGAGCTGTATGGAACATGGATTCTCCTACATACCAGATATTTTTCTCCAGGATTTTTGTCCTTAGGTACTCACTTTGAATCCTGACAATGGTAGTATGATTCAGTGGGTTGTTATGTATCTCAAGCCTCTTTCCTTTTCCCCACAGGTGGTTGAAGACACTCTGAATCTGGTAAAAAGGTGGAGATCTCCCATTAAAGTAGCATATGATGAAGTCTTTATGGAGTTCTGCTCCTTTTTGAAAAACTGCATCAGGTATGAGAATTCGAGGTCTTCCCTCCGGCGAAAGAGTAGTTGGAGCAAGTCTTTCAAGAGATTTATCTTCTGAAGCTCTGATTTTTTCAACCAGGGTCGGATTTGGTGGTATGTTTTCTGCAGGAAAAGGTTGTTTTTGGTTGAGGTTCTGGTCAGGGGTTTGAGGGGGAACGGCTGGTTTGGGTTTTGCAGTAGGGTTTTGGGTAGTAGTAACAGATGGTGAGTTGTTTATGGGGGCTGAGGCGCTGTTTGTGAGGAGAGGGGAAGTTGATTTTGGTGGGAGAATGGTAAATGATTGCTGGGTAATAAGAGTTTCTTTTGAAGGTTGGTCAATTTCGTTTTCAGATCCAGATCTAGGAACAGTGTTTTTGATTTTTTCAGAATCAGTTGTTTTCTCTTCAGATATAACTGGAGTTGCTGCATCTTTGGAGACAATAGTTTGTTGCTTTGCGTTTGCAGAAGCATAGTTTGAGGGCTTCTTAAGTAGGTATTTCCGTGAGGAAGATACTTTAGAAGTAGTTTGAGAATTAGGTGACAGTGGTGGAAATAGGTGGGGGGAAAGAGGAGAAGGCTGGTTAGGGGGGTCGGGGGGTAAAAGGGCTGGGTCAGGCGGTTCTCCGGCGGGCGTTGGCGGTGGATTCACGGCGGAAGCTGAGCCAGGGAGTTTCCAAACACTCTGCATTGGGAATCGAGTCAGAGAGAGTTTGACTGTTCAGTATTGGAGTTATGCAATTTGGCCTTTACGAACTTCTTTCCGTACGCAAATTTATAAAAGAAACTATTTACGAAGAAACAAAAACTGAACGGTCAGAAAGCACAAGAAAATATAAAGGAAATTATTTACGAAGAATACGTGAAACAGATTAAAGTTAACTTATTAATACATTATCATTTATATAGTTAATTTTGAATTGACAAAGTTAACCTATATACACGGCAGTTGTCATATCAACGTAACGTGACCAGTTTATTGCAACTTTTGTTGTGAGCTAAACAGTAGATGTACAATTCTATTACGTAGAGATCCTTTTAGCTATTTTTATCTGTCCTTCACTTTTGGTTGGAACAATATTTTTACTATATTGTATAGAAATGGAATCTAAAAATCAGAACTTAGCCGTTCGTTTGGCGCCCTGAACTAACTTTTCATGTTTCTAATTACGAGACACAAGAGCCACCACGTGCATGATGCTCACGCCTCACGGTGACAATATTATGTTTCTGTTTCTATTTTATTTTTTAATTCAAAATTGAATAATATGCAACTTTTTTCTGCTCAAAATATGCAACTTGGGAGCCATGCATATGATTCCTGAAATGACTATTAATCTCTTTTTTTTTTCTTTTGACAAAATGACTATTAATCTTGGTAGTTATAACTTGCAGAGTTACAGCTAGGACATTAATTTGAACCCTTGGCTATATAGCAGGTTCCTATTCACTGCATACAAATCATACAACGCTTTCTTTTATTAAGGAATAACTGCAGATGTACAAAAAAAAAGAGAAGAAAACAGAAAAACCCAAAACTAAATGAAGCTTATAAGTAAATAGCAGTAATAAACGAAACGTATGTTAGATCTAAAAAGTACTATAGCCATATACCAAAAACTAATTTTTTATCTTCTCTATGTTTTGAAATGATTATTTTTTCTAATTTCTTTTTTTTTAAACTAATTCTAATTTTTTCCTAATTTCACAAAAACATTTTGATGACAACTCATTCTGAAGGCACTGTAAGAGGCTAAGAGCAACGTGACAGGTTCAGTGCTCGAACAAGGCATCATATGGAGAAGAGAATTGTTAGAGAAACAAAAGTTCAGTTCGTTGCACTGTCTTATTAATTACTCCCTCCATTTCTTAGTATAAGATGTTTTGCTTGAATGCACAAAGATTAAAAAACTTACATTTTAGATGATAGTATTATTAAATAATATATTTTAAACATAGATTAACCAATCATAAATGATATAATAAAATGTAATTGATTAACCAATTTTTAATAAAGTTAAAGTATCTTAAAAATATCAAAACATCTTATATTTTGAAACATCAAAACTTATCCAAAACATTTTATATTGGACGGAAGGAGTTATAACGTACTTTTGCTACAACCTTTTTATTATGAGGAAAATATATAGAGACGCACTAGTAGATCGTATCCCTATCAATATCCATAAAGTGAATCAGAATTGATACAGTTAAACACACTTAACAAGTATGAAACTAGAGGTAGTAGCCATTATCACTCGAAGCAAAATCCATCATAGCGAATGAACTCATGAGCTCTAACTCGCCTTCATTAAACCAGAAAGCGTTATTGCTATCGAAGTTGTTCCTTTCTTTGAAGTAGAGACTTGGATCATTAGTATTTCCCCATACGACGTCGTTATGTGTCAAATCCATGTTTTGTTTATTCTCGTACGAAGCTGGTACGAGGCCGTCGAAGCTCTTGGGGCAGATTTTGTCTTGTTGGTGTTCACGAGAAGAAGCTGTGGCGGCGGAAACGAGAAGTGACGCTGGACAGTTGTCTTCTCCGGTGGTTTTGACAGCGGAGGAATAATCTCCGACCAACTTTTTACTGAGATGAGTGTTCCAGTGATTCTTGACTTGGTTATCTGTTCTTCCTGGTACTCTTTTAGCTATTAAAGACCATCTGGATTGGGAAGAAAATATCATAAGATAATAAAATCACATTCAACAAAATGATTTTTATAACCTATATAATTCATATAGACATGGAAGTATTGATCTTAGTAAATGTCTAGGATTTTGTTGACATTTGTAAATCATTCATAAAAAAGGTAATGCATTATGCGTATTCATATTTATATATATACAGTGTGAGAGAGGTTACAAATGGAGATATTAAATATATTTGAACATATTTGAGAGTTTGAAAATATTTATTTTGACAAAGACATTAATTTTTTTTTTTTTGGAAAAGCATAATAAAAATTAAACAGTTACATTTCATCGTTTTAAGTTTGATAGAGAGACTATTGCAGGTAATCCGGTGTTTAAGGTGTTGCTTTTTAGCCTACGGGAGTTTCAATAGCTGTTTTTATAAGCTTTGTGCTTTGTCCTACATGGATAAGCATATACCTTAATTATGTGCCCATAAGTTTTTTTTGGGGGTGATTTTGGGTTCAAATTTGCTTTAGAGCAAGCTGTGACGATTCAAGTAAAATTGTATCTTTATTTAACTACTAATTAATGAAATTCACATACTTATAAAAAACAAGACTTGGAGTATGAGTGTATATTTATAGAAAGAGAGCTCAAACAGATGTACCTGTTGCCGAGGAGCTTGTGGAGACGAATAATGAGGTCTTCTTCTTGTTCAGTGAAATTGCCTTTATTCACACTAGGGCTCAAATAATTTATCCATCTCAGTCTACAGCTTTTTCCACACCTCTTCAGCCCTAAAATTAATACCAAATCAAGTAGTTATATATATACATATATATATACATGTATGTTGTAGCTAGAGATTAGTAAAAATATGTATGGAGAGAGAGAGAGACCAGTTTTCCTGACAATGCGATTCCATTGGCCTTTGCCGTGAGTTTGGACATAGTCCATAAGAATGTTGTCTTCTTCGACTGTCCATAACCCTTTCTTGTATTCCTGATGATTCTCTCCTCCTTCTGATCTTCTCCTTATTCTCATTCTTTGATTCTCTGATTTATTCTGTTTGTTTATGTGATAAAGACTGATCTACTTATAAAAGAGAGAGAAGAGATTGTTACTACTGAGGGAAGTATGGGATTTCGTGATGTGATGCATGCTGTATATATAGCAGTGTAGTTGGGTGTTCACGAGAATTACGGGTCATTGTATACATACAGTAGCTTTATTTCTTTTTAAGGTTTCTCTCATGTTGAATATTTCATATTAAATAAAAAAATATACTAAGTAGTTATCTAAATACTTTTTTTTTGATCGAAGTTATCTAAATACTAGAATTCTATTCATCAACGTTTAAAATAGTCTCAATAAAATAATTTCTTTTTACTTTTTCCTTAGTTAAAGCCAAACTTAACAGTGGGTTATAGTATATGTTTTTACCTGTTTAACACATGTTTTACTATAAAGTATTAATGAAGAAAGTTACGCAAGACGTTACATAGCATCGCTCCATGCCATGGATATCTAAAATAAATAAATGTTTAATTAAATCTTTCAAAATTTAAATAGTTGAGTGATCCACATAAAAATATTTCAAAGTGTCATGAGACCATTCATTGATTATTGAATATGCAAGGATACATTGTATATAAAATTATATATGTGTGTTTTGTGCTTATCAAATATACAAGCATATATTGTAATATCAAATGTCCTTGTGTGTGTATTGTGCATACTTTACTACCTAGTCCCAACTAACAAGTTAAGTGGGAGTGAATAAATAACTTGGGATTAGGCAAAGAAGATTGTCTCAAAAGTTAATTAATTATTTGGAGGAATATAAGCTGCTCTGCTCACCTTTCTGGCTCTCTCTCCCTGCCACTATCTTCCTCTATTCTCTTTTGGTTTCCGTTGAGACCACATTTACACTTCTCTCTCTGTCTAGATATCAAAAAGAAATAATAATCCATTTAATACAGCTTATATGTTGACAAAACTAGGTACAAATACTATATGAGCAATTCGAGGATTTACATGTATTTGTATGTCATTGATTCAAAAAATGTATGTGACCTATTGTTCTTAGTTTTCTGTTTAAGAAGTTGTTAGTTAATTTCGAGTATATTATATTATTATTGGCAGAAAGATAGTCAAGCACACTCCCAACAAGCTATTTTCTAACGTAGCAGTTGAGAATCTACATGTCGCATAAAGATACATATTTCTATATAAATTAGAAGTTAAGTCTAGAAAACACAGAGGGGTTTCTCATAATCATTACCAATTTGTTCGAATATACAATCAGCAATAAACATCTGAATGAAGTAACCCGTGATTCTCGACCCCACAAATTCACAAGTGAAGGATAGTGCAAATAAAATCCTCTACTGTTTCAAAGACAAAAAAGAGCGAAAACCCTAGTAAACCGGATAATTTAGCCCTACTAAACCGGTTGGGTTTAGAGATCATTCTAACCATAGACTCGAATCCGTACGTGTATCTGTCACTGTCAGTGTTTTCTTTTCCTTTTTTGGTTTTCTTTTCCTTTTTTTGGTTAATTTGTCAGTGTCTAGTTACTGTTACAGAGGGGGAAGCAACAATAATAATAAATTACACGTGGTGGACCTGGGATCCGAGGACACCCTCCACGATAATATCACAGTCGTACGTTTGCGTTGCTCACGTGCGTAATAGATACGTTACGTTGAAAGAAATATTTACTTCACAACGATCCATGTTAAAGATTTGATTACTCTTCAATATACAGTTTTCTATTCGTTCCACAAAAATCCATGTCATATAAATTTACATGTATTATATCTATTGAGATGGACAATTTTTATCTTTACTATGTATAGCCAAGAGTAAACGGCTTCCCCCTAGGTTAAGGAGTTACAGTTGGAGTGCACGTCCCTGGGTTTGAGCCCTTGGTCACTGTGGAATTTATATATGGCTGCAGCATCCAAGATAGAAGACCATTATAGGTGAACCATATGGTGACGTCCTGGTAGTGTCCTTGCTTGCTTCAGTCTCTAGTCTGGACCACTTCGGTTGGGTCAGGATACTCGGTTAGTTTTACTTCATTAGTATGTACAAACTATATTAAAAAAAAAATCAAGATCTATTGAGTAAAGATATTAATTGATCTTTTCGCCAAAAGTTTGAACTGTTTTTACCACTTAATAATTTATTTTAACATCGAGTCGGGTATGATTTGTATGTGTTATTACTTATTTATCAATATCTTTACAATAATTTGATTTTATGTTAATTAAGGTATATAAACGTTGGATATATTTAAAACTATACAAAATAAGTTAATTAAAGATTTGAATGTTTACAAACAACACCACAATTAATATAAACGAAAATCTCAACATATACCTAAATATCTATATGTTTAGATACTATTAAGTGCATCTCAGTTGTTCTGCATGTTCCATTCAAACTATAATTAAATCTTGATTCACTAATATCTATCTGGTTGGTATTTTTAAGTAAAAATTGTATTGTAGGGGACATTGTGGTCGAGCAAAATGAGTTCATACTTAGGTCCATTTACATATCTAGAGAGAAAACTTATCCGTGGGTTTCATTTATATTTAAAATTAGTTTGATTTTTTCATAGTTTTGAGATATCCATATTAATTTAAAACCAAAAAAAAAAGTTGTACTGTAAATTATGTTACCATATGTTTTTAAGAAGTACCGTCATTTTTTTTTTTTGCTAAATAAGTTAATAGCATATTCATGAAAAGAGGAAGTTGCAAGCAACATTCCTAAAAGAGTGCTTCCAAGGCAAACATAAAAATAAAAATGAGTGATCATTAAAGAAGTTCAGAGTCGTTAATAGCTAATCGCTAATTAGAAGATTAAGCTAGCCAACACGAGAGGAGGTTCTTGAAATTCTGCTTCTTCCTTTTTGCAAGGAGAATTTTATGCACTTCTCGATGGATGATCTTGAAGGTAGTTATGCCGTAATGGATGTTTGATTGTGACTCACATGTATTGTTCCTTTGGCGCAAAGTGTGGTATAAAACAGATTGAACGACAACCTTGCGAAGGAGTGGAGGAGATGTCTTGTTGTACCACTATTTTAATCAGTCAAAATAAAACAGAAAGGAGATGTCTTAAGGTACTTCACATCTATTTTAAACATATCTATCGTACTGTTATCTCCTACTATATAGTATATACTATAATCTAATTAATCATCGACAAGGTCCTGACATATAATATTGGGTTGGGATATTTTAATAAAATATTAAAACATTTGTATTTACTTGGATTTGAACCTATCAACATTAAATGGATTGTATTACGTTCTTTGCATCAGAATTAGTGAAGTTATTAGCTAAAAATGGACTACAGAAATTGATAAATTTGGATGACTTTTTAAAAAGCTAGAAGCATGTGCTTCCCCTACTGCCATCCAGGACCAGCACTCATTTACCGTTAAAACTCGTGTTACTAATGGTGTCCACAAACATATTAGTTCAGTAATATATCAGGTGATAACCATATTTCATTCAACTAATTTTCTTGTGTTTTCAATTTTTTTCTGTCTTCTTTCTTTTCTCCTTTTGCCTCTTTGGTACCGTTGGCCACCTACCTATTTTTATGGTAATGCCAATATAGAAATGATAACGAAACTAACAACAGACAAACCTACTGTGATATTTTCAAAAAAAAAAAAAAACCTACTGTGATTTATCCCGAAAATATACCTACCGGACTATGCAAATTCGGTTCAAATGCCCGTTGAACCAATCATTCTCAATAGCCAAAACTTGCAATTGCTAGATAAACCACGCAGACGACAAATTCTGGTCACAAGACTTTCAATGTCCATTCCATTGCCATGTGACTTCAATAACTTTGGAGAAAGAACGGTTAAGGTCTAACGTCAAGTGGGATTTAAAAACCCACTCTTAAACTATCTAAAGCGGCCCTCCGCTGTTACCAGGGTTAATGGCTGCATCTGACTGTATCAAATCAGCAGAACTAATTTCTCTTCACAAACCACTATACTCATCATGATACACAAACATGCTATAGTTTTAAGAAGAGAAATAAAATACCAAAAACATGATCAAAAGGTATTTTCAGTTGCTTAACATACTTTATAGCACCATAACAGCCACGTTAAAAGTAAGACCTGAGATCGTAATTCAAGGCCACAATTTAAAGACGGGCTATAGCGTTCTGAACCCTACTCCATAAGCAGCAAATTCCAGTTACTCATCAGGTCTTTATATTTTGTTGTGTCTATTGCTTCATAAAGGCCCATTAAATGCTAATGTTGATATTTTAAAGTTTTTATGATCTTTCTCAGCTAGGATGTAGACAAGAGTTCATCAAAACACTTGTTGACACAAGATCAGTGGTCTTTTTTAAAAGTTCAAATTTCAAAAGATGTTTAAGTACAAAAAACAGTTGTGAAACCAAGATCAGTGCCCAAAAGCAAAAAAAACCTTTACTTCTATACAATTAAAATGTTTAGGTTTTATAATTCTCTATGTATTTTTGGTGCTTTCCAATAACTGAAATTCAAAGCTGATGTTATCAAATTTTCATCTGATATCTAATTATGATTCGCAACGAGAATTACCCTTACGTTTAGTCTATTACTCTTTGTTAATAACAAAAGTTAAAAGCCAATAGATACAAAAACGAATGTAACATGAATTGTTTTAGTCTAGTATTCATTTTTTTTTTTTTGTTTCCTCTCGGCAGTGTATATACATTTGAAAATCCGGTTCATCAATAACCGGTTTCTCTCCACAGTTCGGAGCAACTTCAGGTTTTTGTCCAAAAGAGTAACAAGTGCTCTGTTTCTCTTCCTCCTTCCTCTTCCAACCTCTTTCAACAACGCAGCTAGCCTCTGCTTCTCGTACTCCACCAAGGATTTGCCGTCCCAAGCTTCTCCCCTCTTGCAAAAACATAACCTAAAAAGAGAGAAGACGTGTTTAAGCAGGACAGTACTCTTTCTCAAGAATGGGTTTTCTTGTTTTTTTTTTCTTTTTGTTCTTGTTTTTTTCAGCAAATCATGCAACTTATACATGTGCATTCTGCGAAGAGCATCTCCAGTATATCATTCTATTTTTACTTCAAAATGTAATCAAATTTTACTATAACGTTACTCTATTTTTTAAAGTAAGAAATAAATTCTAGAGGACAATAATAGTTCATTTATGGAATAATTATATTTTTCTCTGTATAATGAAGTAGAAAATAGAGTATAATCGAAGCATTTGTCATTTTAAACTCCATTTTTAAATTAAATATAAAGTGAAATTGAAGATTTTCTAAATTTGAATCTATGTGATGTATATCGAGACTAGTTAAGCCACTAGACTAATCTAATTAAAATTTTAATTTATCTGGGAAAGGACTAGAATTGCCAAATAACATTTACAATTTTCTATTCAGTCCATAAATATATATAGGGAAAAATTCATAAAAATACTCCAACTATTTTGTTAAGCTTTTTAATACCTAAATTTTTTCGCCAGTTAATTATTTTATCCATTTAATACCCAAAATTTATCTATTTTAAGTAACAATACCCATAAGTTTCAAAAAAATATTTTTTAAAAAATCTCTAAAATCTAAGAAAAATTATTTAAAATTTATAGTTTTATTTGAAGAATTAAGAAAGAAGGTAATAACTTTGGAGAAGCTTTCAAAGTTTTAAAAAATTAATTTTGAAGGAAAAAAATATATTTTTAAAAATTTTAGAAAGCAAACTAAATTCAATATTAAAACTTAAAAATTTATTACAAAATTTAAGATTATACAAAACATATTTACTTTTATTTCTCTAACACTGAATAAAATTAGATTTTTTTCTAAAGTTTAGAGATTATTAAAATTTCATTTGAAACTTATTAGTATTTTTATTAAAATAAACAAAATTTGGGTGTTAAAATGAGCACAGTTATAAAAGTTTGTGTATTAAAGTAAGTAAAATAATTAGTTGAAATATTAACTAGATAACAATTTTTTTTTGAGAATTAAAAAGTTTAAAGAAATTTAGTTAGAGTATTTTTATGGCATTTTCCCTATATAATATCACTATATTCTTACTTATTTTACTTTTCCTTTTTCCTTATCAATCAAAGCTCTGGTTCAGGCATTATCCATTCAATAATTACTGAATAATAAAATATGCGTGTTTAAGATTAAATCACTCAAAAGTGAGTCAATTACGTCAATCCAGCCACTTCGTACTGATGCATCTGTCAACATCAAACTTTTATTCACAGAAACTGTATCATGAAGTCGTATGCGATTAAAAGGAATTTCTTTTTAGAATGACTTGTTTATCCACTAACATCCATAATAGCTAAATGACTTTGCAATCACAATATATAGGTTGGTCGGTCATATATATGCATGACTTGGGTTCTTACAAGAAACAAAGCCAACCCACACGTTTGTTCATGATTATTAGACCTCACCACTTATTTCCTTCTGATTTGTAATTTGTTACATAAAGATACCTTCAGGCCCGGCCCTCAGATAAATTGGACTGCAAACAAAAAAAAAAAAAAATTGGGGCCGGTTACACATAAATTTTGAAAATGTAGATGGTTGTATTTGAATTCAGCACTAGAAACATATAAAGATGAGGTCGAATTATTACATATCTAGAATAGGGCCGAAAGCACATGCTTCATTTGCTTGTAAAAGCCACTACTGGACACCCTATCCAGAGCCATACTTATAGTGTTATTAAAAAGACATTTGCCTCAGGCCCCAAAAAATATAATTTTAGAGCCCCAAAATACACATAATTTTATGGTGTAGTGGTTCAGTGTTTTCGTAGTTAAGCTTATGTACGTTAGTTCGATTTTCATCTTTGCTATCATTAATATTTTGATATACTATAGCTTCTTTCAGTTTAAGTTTTTATGCCACAAAATTTTTTCTATGCTTTAGATTTTCTTTTAAATTTTTAAGAAAAAATGTTTATTTTTATTATATTATATCTTTACTTATTTATTTATTATTTATTTTTATTATATTGTATATTTACTATTCTTATTTTTATATTAAATGATAATATTACGATAGATATGTAAAGTAATATTTCTATTTATTATTTTGTGTATTTCCTTATTATTTATTTTATCTTATATAGTTTATTTACTTATCTCTTATATATTAAAAGAGAAGTACAACATTCTAGCTATAACACGTATGATCACTAGAATGTTTTTTAAAGTTTCTAGAAAAAAGTTGTTCCATACAAACATATAATATATTTTTTATTAAAGTAACTATAATCTATTATTAATGTTCTTCATTTTTCCTTAAATAAAAACTACGTAATTACCTAATATGATTTAGATATATATACATGATAATTAATTATTTTAATAACAAAGATTTGATAAAAATTAGCTATTCTTTTTCTTAAATTTATATTATAAAAATAAATTAAAAGAATCATAGTAACTATATAATACAACAAATTAGTTTTTTTAATAGATGTTATATTTTTTAAAAGACTATAAATTAAAAAAACCTTTAAAATTCGATATAGATTGTGATTAATATTTTTTGTTATAACAAGATACAAAAGATTATACAATCAGTGAGTAGGAAGTATCATTTAATAAATATTCAGAATTATATGTAATTTTCTAATGACGTTCAAATTAAACTATATACCATCTAAAAATATATAATGTTTTTAGTTTCAAAATTGAATTGAACAAGTATTGAGAAATTAATAATTTAGTTTCAATCTTTGAATTTTTTTTTAAAATTATTATGAATTACTATAAATATTAAACGTCTCATATTAAAGATGATCTCACTGGTTTAAAAAATTGTTATCAATGGTTTAAAAACTTTGTTATACAATATAGAAATGATCATAAAACCATTAAAGTATGAATATTCATTTAATATATATACAAATTAAAAACATACTATATTTATCTATGTTAATATCATTTTTTTCTAGATTTACTTATTGTAAATAAACAAGTGTGACTTTTTATTTATTTATGTGAACAAGCTAATTTAATATATAGATAATATTTACTAATTTGCAATTATTTAATATATATATATATAAATATATATTTTTTTATAATTTTTCAAAGAACACAATATAAATAATAATACATAATATATGTGTGTATACAATTCTCATCACCCAAGACGTGGATCTCAACCTAGTTCTTATTAACTTATTATTTATTTTACCATACATTTTTTTAGCTTGATGTTTAATATAGTTTTCCCTTTCTTATATTTTATATTTTATGTTTTTTATTTTTATAAAATGACAATATTATGATAAATATTTAATATAATATTTAAATTTCTCATATTCTATATTACTTATTAGTTATTTTTTATATTGTATATTTACGTATAAAATATTTGTAAATAATAAAAATGTCAAAGTATACATTTTTCACATAGATGTTTAATGTAGTTTTTTATTTCTTATATTGTGTATTTACTTATTATTTATTGTTGCTTATATTAAATATTTACTCATTCTAATTTTTTTTTTGCTTTTATATGCAGTGGTAATATTGTAGTAGATGTTTAATGTAATATTTTTGTACTTCAAATTGTATATTTACTTATTATTTAGTTTAATATATATTTTTCATATAGATGTTTAATGTAGTTTTTCTTTTTGTTATGCTCTATATTTACTTATTTTTGATATTACAATAGATGTTAACGTTTAATATAATATTTTTATTTCTTATATGTATATTTACCTATTCTAATATTACTATAGATATTTCTAGTAATATTTATATTTCTCATATTATATAATTACTTCTTATTTATTTTACTATACATTTTATATATTGACTTATTTTAATATTATGATAGATGTTTAATGTAATATTTCTATTATGTTACTATATATTTACTTATTATTTATTTTTCTTATATTGTATATTTACTTATTCTAATAGTAAGATAAATGATTAATGTAATTTTCTTCAAATTTCATCAAGTTATAAATTTCTAATATAATGTTATGTACAAATAAAAAAATTATTATTAAATATTTATATCATATAATAATATATTCTATATTATATGTACAAAACATAAACGAAATATATTTTCTTATAAAACTAACGGTTTATAAGTTTACATTGAACACAAGTTAAATTAAACACCCGTACAGGGGTGTGGGTCACGTTCTAGTACACATTAAAACAAGAGTTGACAGAAACACAAAGGCCGGCCTCAGACCTACCTAACGAGAAGTATGTATATATGGTATGTTGTACGGAACTGGACCCGTGTTAAACGGTGCACTAGGAACCGAGGAGTACAGTGCTGAGTGATGCTGAACATTGTAAGCCCTGTTAGCTGGAGCCAAGCGGTTCATGTCACTTCCAAAGGGTAAGACCATTGGTCCAACCATTGATTGGCCTACGGTGGGAGTGCCTTAGATAGAAAAGTTCACAGATGGTTGCGAAGCAGCTCGAGTGTTCCATATGTTGGGTGTTCCATACATAGGACGGTCTAGTGATTGTTGTGAAGTGGCTTGTGTGTTCCATATGGCTGGTGTGTCATATTTAGGATAACGGTCTTGTGATTGTTGCGAAGTGGTTTGGATGGCTTGAGTGTTTTGCCATGTGTTTGGTATTTGCATTGTGTTACCGCTTTCTCCAACGTCAACGTCATATATGCTTTGTCTCACATTGTTTTTGTTCTTAGAGTTAAAGCGTCCGAAGTATTTCTGAGCATGACTTGCAACTTGAGTTGGTGTTCTCGTCATTACCAGGTGACGAGAAATGCTACGCCAATCACCTTTCCCATATTTTTCTAGACCAAGAAGAAACTGTCTGTTCACGAAAAAAGCATCACAAAATCAATATCCTATAAAGATATTAACACTGTAAACCATACTTATACAAGAAAACATAATGCTTTTTTCTATCATAAAAAAGTGGGCACAAGAGTTATATATCTATCTTATTAAAACAGAAATATTACATTGGACCTAACATTTAATCATGTATATTATATTTTCTCAAAAAAAAGTGTAATATTACATAAATGTCATTAGTAATTAATTAAAAAAAGACAAGGGAATTCAGTAAGACTAATCATGTAATATAGCATTATACATTAATCATGTTTCAAAACAATATTAAACTTGTGTCCAAATAATATAAAACATTAGATCTCTACTTTTTAATAATTCTCTTTGTTAATTTTAATAAAAATTATTGAATAAAATAAAATTTGATTAAAATACTCAAATCATTTATAAATTAAAAATAACTTTTTCATGTTTAAATATTAATATACTTTTATTTAATATGAAGTATATTTAAGTAACCAATTAGTATATTTTTATTTTTCATATATATGAAACATATTCATTTAAGCAAAATAATAATTCATGTAAGATTAAAGACAATATGTCAATAATTAAGATGTTAAACTCAATAACTTGACATTAAATAAATTTAAAATAAAAATTATATCTAAGGTTTTTATAATAAAGTACATAAATTTATACTTGTTCTTTATGAAAATTCATAGTACAGAAAAATAATATTTTATATATAACGTTTATATTTGATATAAACACAGACAGTTAGATTATATAATATTATCATATACACCAAAAAGTTTTTTATTAAATTAAATTTGCTTAAAAAATTATTTTTTTCGCTTTTAAAGTACAATTATATCATATGTAGGCTGTAGCAAATAAGTGAATACAGTAGTACGTAGTAGTAACTTGTGTTCATCTGGTGTCCATGCAATCCCCTTGCGACGTCTTTGCGTTAGTCTTGGTTTAGATTCTTGCGTAGACTCACATTTGCGATTGATGATAGCTGTTTCTTTGGCAGGTGTTCCTTCCAAAGAATCATACTCAAGAAAAGGCACACATCCAAATTCAATCAGCATAACATCTTGAAGTAAACTTTCGTAACGTTCAATAACTTGCTCTAATGTTTTTCTAGGAACAACTCCAGCAATCTTTTCCCAACGATTCTGAGTTTCGTCGGTATAAATTGATAGAGCTTTCTCAAAAGCAAGATCATCATCCTTGCTCCACGATGAACCACCACTGGTTTTCTCTCCTATGCTCATATTCTAAGCAATCCTGTTACAAATATTAAAAAAGTTAGACCGAAACTAGATTTATATACTTTTAACTTGAATTCTTAGGTTATGTTTTTAATTATAATTAACTACACAAACTAACATTGGTAAAATTAAAAACAAAAGTTTGTTTATGTTAGAGATAAACCTTAATAGACACTTAAAAACAAATCAGTTTCCAAGATATAGCTTTTATAATAAAAATTTATTTCTTATTTTTTGTTTTCCTTTTTTTTGTTTGGTCCTATTTCTATTCCTAATCATTTGTGGTGCAATAGTATTGTATCAATTATCATGTTCCAAATTGTAAATTATATCAACTTTGACTTTTTTTTTCTTTTGCAATAGTGTATAATGGAAATAAATCTATTTTTCAAAAATTCATATTTTTGTAATAAATAAAAATGTATAAGAACATAAAAATGTATAAGATCCTTAATAAATTTATTATGTTCATTGAGGTGTCAACTTTAAATAGTATACAATTTTTGACACCTTACTACTTCATTATGAGGTAAGATTAATTTAATCAGCTTAATTTTACTAATTCACTTTTAACTATTTATATAAGTACAATATCACGTGGAAGTTCTCTTGGTCCAGTGGTTTGACTGAGAATTAATTAATATTTTTAGATAATGAGATCCAGATTTTAATCCCTGACAAAAATGAAAGTGATTTATTAAACAATTATGTAAGCTACGAAGGAAATGCTTATAAGAGATTTTCAACATGAAACAAATAAACTCGGTCAGACATGAATCGGTATGGTGATGAACTTAGGTGTAGATCATAAGATAGATAGTATTGTCGATTATCAAATTGTCTATTTTCTATAATTATAATACCATAATAAATTAATGTTAAAAATATAAGCACAATATTTTATAAAAAAATCTCTTTTCAACACACATATAAAAAATAATCAGCACTCTTTTTTAATATATAACTCCGGTCATTCATACCACAACAACCCGACTAATCTCAGAAACCAAGGACAAGAACGGATTGCTTAATATCCTTCCAACGAAAATCGTACCTAGGAAACCAAACTTACACAAAACCACTAAACCAATTCAGCGTTGATATCACCACTTTTATTAGTTCTAGTCAGAGTCGTGTCTATACTGTTATTAAAAAGGTATTTGCCTTAGGCCTCCAAAAACATAATTTTAGGGTCCCAAAATACACAAGTAATTTTAGGGTGTAGTGGTTACAGTGTTTTCGTAATTAGGTTTATGTACGTTATTTCGACTTTCATCTTTGTTATCATTAATATTTTGTTATTTTGATATATTATAGCTTCATTTATGCCACAAAATTTTTTTCTATGCTTTAAATTTGCTTTTAAATTTATAAGAAAAAATTTGTATATGTACAAAATAATTTTATAAGAGAGTTTTTCTAATTTTTTATTACAAAGTATGTATTATAAAACTTTAAACTAATATTGTATTTATAATTTTTTTAATTCGCCTTAGGCCTCCTAAAATGCTCGCACGCACTAACCCTATCACCACGTTTCAGAAAATGCTCATTAAATTCATAGGCATTTGATAATTATGTATAGATCATATTCTAATTATTGTCGACTGTTGGACGGTGCTATTTCTTTGAAGTCTTTCGCCGCTCGAATCCCAATCAGATCTTATCTATTATTCACTAAATTATTTGATTTAATCAATCTTACGCGTTTAGATACCTGATACTTCTATTTTTCTCGACCACCATTTCTTTTAGATGTGTACTGCTATTTCTTTTTGTCAACCTTTTTATTCTTCTTGTCAATCTTTTAAATAATGGGATTTTGAATATTCGGATCGGAATTCTCTAAATGAACAATTGTTTCAGCTGAATGAAAGAAGTCGTGGCTGAAATTTTTGATAATATATAGACCATTGTGTTTATGAAGGAATTTGTGGAATTCCCAATATACATATCTCTCACCGGTTTGATATACGGCCAAAACCAAATTAGAAGAATATCATTACTTGAAACGAAAACAATTAGAATATATCAAAACCAATATACCCAATATTAATGGAAGTGGTAACAAATCTTCGGTGTCAAAAGAGACATATATAGGTAAAAACCCACAAGACTGAACCACACATTTAGGTAAAAATAAAGTCCTTCGTACAAACTAAATACCAAAACGCTTATTGATTTTCCTAGTCAAATAAGCATCTTTCAATCTTTCTTTTCAAAAGTTCTGTGAAAGTTTTCAACTTTCTTTTTTTGAAAATTACTTTTCCTTTTTCCCATTTTACAAGCAAACGACAAAGGAAGAACATTATATTTGCTTTAGGTGTACGAGTGGTTGTGGAGAAAGTTCGACTGTCCCATAATGGCTTTCATGTTTCCCCATGACCAATTCATTGTTTATGCATGTATCTGTATTTGCATTCAGATCTCTCTCAATTTTGTATTGAGAAAAATACATTTTACACTGACTGAGAAATATAGTGTTTTTGGTGTTTGGGTCTATTTTGAACAAAATAGATCGAATTAGATGTAAAAAAATAAATTGAAGATGCATAACTATGTATATACATCAGATATTTAGCAACACATGAAAGATTTTCCACAGTGTGATTGAGCTCAAATTTTAATACATGACATAAATTGAATTAACTTTCCCATTCCGCTGGTTTGTGGTCGATCCAACTGTTGGATCAAAGTTATGTGTGTTTTACTAAAGATTTTTCTGTGTGTCAGTTAAATACGTGAAAAGAAAAATTTTGGTTGTGCTTATTTTGTTTTATTTCCCCTAAAAGTTGACCATGGCGTGTTTTTACTACCTATCTACTGTTTTGAGCCATTTTTAAGCTAAAGTTTATTTTACGTCAAGGTTTTAGAACTCTGGTAGATGAGAGAATCTTTGTGAACCTCTATTTTTATCTCTTTGATCTAATTATGTAAACTTTATCACTGAACTTGTGTTCTTTGGTTATGTTTGAGTAGCTTCATTGTTAGGTTCTAGGGTTTCAAAGAATTGATGAGAATGAATGTTTAAGGCTGTTTGATTAGAGAATCTTCATTAGAGTTCTTCAATTAAATTGTTCTTAATGCTTAAACCTCATTGATCACCTAATTCATGATTTTAGGTTAATTGAATACAGTGGGAGTTGATTTGTTTAATTGAAAATAATTTATGCGAGCAAAGTGTCTTAGCCAATGAGAGTTGATTTCATCGCGAATTGATTCTCTGATAAATTGTTTATATTCATGATTTGATTTTCACGGTTTCTCTAATAAATAACGGTTTTATATAAGTTTTAGCTTTTATTGCATTGTTCATATTGCATATTTATTTTGTGCTTAGCTTTAGAAAAAACAAAATCAATATTTTTGTCTTAGCCTGACTTTATTACGACAAAGTTGTGTAATCTTCATCCATGTGAATTCGAACTTTTCTATGCTACTATGATGTGTTGTATATTTGCAGTGTGGTTAAGGAATTAATTATAACATCCCGGTTTGTTGGTATTTGAAAAAGACGTAACATGATTGATTTGGCTACCTATGTCACAAAAGTATACTTACTTTTTCGGGAGCATATCTGGAGAGAACTCCAGAGTTAAGCGTGCTTGAGTTGGAGTAGTCAAATGATGGGCGACCTATCAGGAAGTGATTCGCAATACCGTGTAAGTGAGGCCAAAGCACTGGGAAAGGTCGGGTGGTGATTGCAGGGTCAGTAAACATAACTCTATAACCTTGAAAAATTAATGGACGGACCGTTGGAACGGGATAGGGCCCATGGGCCGAGAGAGCGGGTGTGTGTGGTCCATCAGTCATGGGCGGTCGGGGCGTTACAAGTGGTATCAGAGCCGAATCCCGACGAGTGTGGAGTCAGTGAGGGCTCACACTAACAGGGATAACAATCTTGGGGCGCAACAGGGGACGTTGCGTTCTTTGAGAGGAGGTGAATTATAACATCCTCGTTTGTGGTATTTAAAAAAGGCGTAAGAAGATTGAGTTGGTTACCTATGTCACAAAAGTGTACTTACCTTTTCGGGAGCATATCCAAAGAGAACTCCAGAGTTAAGCGTGCTTGAGCTGGAATAGTCAAAGGATGGATGACTTATCGGGAAGTGATTCGCGATATCGTGTAAGTGAGGCTAAAGCACTGGAAAAGGTCGGGTGGTGATTGCAGGGTCAGTAAACATGACTCTAGAGCCTTGGAAAATTAACGGACGGGTCGTTGGAACGGGATGAGACCCATGGACCGAGAGAACGAACGCGGATGACCTATTAGCTGTGGACGGTCGAGGCGTTACATTAATATTCTGAGCTATCACTGAGACAATTCATCAGCCCGTTGCGGCGTTGCAGTATCAATATATTGTATTCAAATAAGTTGCACACATTATTTATTAGAATGTTTATTATACAAGGTTATATATAAGGATATCTCATCAGGTAAAAAAACAGTGTATATTTCTGGAAAATCCATACTCTGTGGTTTTAATGGAATTACTTTATCTGTAATATGATTTATTTGTTAGTTTGTATATATATACGTGTGTGTGTGTGTGTGAATAGATGCAGTCATGAACCATTACAAAAGAGCATTCCAAATATGGACAATATACTAGCTTTTTCTATCTAAATACATGTGCATGGACCAACCATGCCATGCCGCCTATATATACAAATCTATATATTTAATGTGGAACAATAATTTTATGAACAAAAAATGTGGAAAATGGTAGCATAAAATTGATTGTGATGTTAATTGAGGGAGAAATTTGATACGAGTGAAAGGAAGTCTATATATGCAACTTTGGACTCGTCAATATTTTTTGGTGGTAAATACACACACACACACATATATATATATATATCAACTTTTTGTGTTAATTAATAAGAAAAATAAGTAAATAATAGTTGATGGACTAGATCGTTCCAATATTTATCTTTAGGTTTGAATCCACATATCAGAATATTATGCTCAAATTTACAATAAAATAATTGTAGCAAACATCATTACTTTTTTTTTTTTTTTTTTTTTTTTTTTACTTATAGTCTACAGATTATAACCTAAACGGTGTTTTCATGTTTCATTTGTTCTACGTACGTGTACCTTTAGAATTCGATAAGGATAACGGACACGAACATGCATGTTATATTGCGGTTCCAATAATAAACATGCTTCTTCTTTTTGTCAAATATAAACGTAAAAGGAAAAAGAGAAACAATCAATAACCGAAATCTTAGTAAGTTTGAAGTAAACCATTGTAGTACTGGGAAAATGCAGTATAGTACTGCGAAACTATGATGGAAGAAACGTGTTGAGGGAATATTTTCAACCAGTAAAGAGATAGGTGTATATACATGGTCTGATACCAAAGGACCATTAACTTTTCGTTCTTTAACACAATTTTGCTCATGACTAATACTTTTTATAAGAATTTGGAACCTTTTTGGATCAGACACTATAAATTAGAATCTTGGACTTGGCCCATTGATCGGTCAAAAGGTGGTCTCCTAAGTGTATGTTCCAAACACTTGAAACTCAAGAATGCCATCCTCTAGAGAAATAGAAAGTAAAAAATTAGAGTTCAAAACATGCATGCAAAGTTGTTTCTAGCGAATTCATACACACACGATAACGAAAAGAAAGTACAGTAAACATTCAAAACTTTGAAGCGGCAGAAAAAGAAAGATATTGATTACAGAAGTGAAAATTTCAAGGAACACGAAAACATGTTTATTAGGCCATCTATATCGGTGAGTTCTAAAACAATATTTAGAATCTTTTATTTGAAACAGATGACTCTTATTGAGATTAATTTTCATTTTAGATTAAATATTAAATACATACAAGATTAAATTAAAAGAAACTGTATTATTACTAAGGTCGACTCCAATAAGATTTCAAAATTCCAAATTTGATATAGTTTAATCTTAAACAAGACATCAAAAATAACATAATTCCACCAAATTTGGTGAACATGTGAAAAGTATTATACCAGATTATGGTGTAACACTATTCATCAGATCAAATATTTAAAATATATATTTTATTATGTTTCATTTAATAATATAGTTCAACTACTATCATTAGTTAATTCAAAATTTATAACTAAACATAAATATATTATATTATTTGTCTTTTTAATTTATTTTTCACAAAATTAAAATAAAAATATTCTTTTAATATATTTTCAATTAATAATCACTAAATGAGTATTATTAAGTAATGCCATTTAAATATATATATATATATATATATATATATATATATATATATATATATTAGTATTTTCATATTTAATTAATAGTTTCCAATTTTTGAATACAACTAATATTTTATATAAAGTAAATACATAATATATATTGTTATAACAGAAACTATAAATGTAAGTAAATATTATGAACAGAAAGTTACAAATCATTAACAAACATAAATCTAAGTAATAAAATAAATATTCATCAATTGCAAATAACAAAAATATAAAAATTACTGTAACTGAAAACAACAAAGAATATGTAATATTACTTTGGATATAAAATTTGGTGTTATAGTTGGAGGGAAGATAACAAAGAAAATATGACACCAAAACATCAAATGGCCTTACTTTCAAATTGCAAGCTTTGCCTAATGCTTCGTTAACCTTTTATTTTTTTTAGTTTTTTTAATAAAAACTACTTGCTGATCCGATTAATTATGGCAATGTATTTACTACAAAGTAGATTTTTTTACTGGAAGATTTACTACAATATCAAGCCCGAAACTGAAATGTTTTTTTGCCTAATGTCATAGAGTAGCAGAATCGTTTGTTACTAAAATTATCAGTAAGGTATATGGACCGAAATCCAAACTCAGTATTCTCACATAATTGTAAATTTGTTTCAATAAAGACTTGAACTTCGGAAGAGTATTTTAACATGTTCTCAAGTCTCGTCTACCATTAGACCACGCGGGCGAATTAGGATGTTTTTAGTGGCACAAATTAGTGTTTCTCAACAGTAAAATACCTTTTGAAAAGATAAATGTTTCAATTTTTCTTTTTGATGTTTAAGTTGATAGAGCTAGAATTACTTAGTGTTTTTAGTAGTATATATGTTTTTGGGGAATTGGGCTCACTAGCCATAAAATAACATGTAATTAGGTATCTAGCTAAAAAAAAAACACACTCAACTATTATTATAATATATACTATATTATCCCTTATTCCCGGTTAATACGTACACAAACTTGTTCTTCCTCACTTACTTACCACTTCTTCTTCTTCACTTACCTACCACCATCACTTCTTCCAATTCACTACCATTTTTTGTAAAAAAAAAATTAGTCATTTGGATCTTTATCTATTATACCAACTATCATCATTGCTTTTATTTATTAACCAATTTCATTTTGTTAACTACCATTTCCTTGATATTAGTCACCACCATCTTTTGAAAATTTACAGATCAGACAGCATTACGGTAGCGTCCTCATTTTCCTGCAAGTTCTCCATTGTACTATGTTATTTGAACAGTATGTACTATGTTATTTCATTTGTTTACTATTCTATTTCCATAATTTTTCATATTATGTATTATATGCATATTTTATATTAAATTAGGGTTTATATTTCCTTTTAAGGTTTACTGTCCTAGTTTTTTAGGTTTAGTTTATGGAATGTTTGGATTGACTTTAGGGTAAACATTATCTCCTTCCCTGCAATCTTGAACATTAATATGTATTATATTATTTTGTTTGTTACTATTCTATTTCAGTAATATTTCATATTATGTATTATGTGCATAATATTTGAGTTAGGGTTTATATTTTTCTTTTAGGGTTTAGTGATTAGTGTTTTGGATTTAGTTTATAGAAAATATGGATTGACTTTAGGATAAACATTACCTCATTCCTTGCAATCATAAACATTAATATGTACTATACTATTTTGTTTGTTACTATTCTATTTCAATAATACTTCATATTATGTATTATGTGCATATTTTAATATTTGAGTTAGGGTTTATATTTTCCTTTTAGGGTTTAGTGATTAGTGTTTTGGATTTAGTTTATAGAAGATATGGTTTGACTTTAGTGTAAATATTACCTCATTCCATGCAATCAAAGATATTTTAAAATTTGAACATTAATATATTCTATGCTATTTTGTTTGTTACTATTCCATTTTGATAATGATTCATACGATGTATTATGTGCATTTTTGATATTCGAATTAGAGTTTATATTTTCTCTTAGGGTTTAGTAACTAGTGTTTTTAGGTTTAGTTGGTAGAAGATTTAGGTTGATTTTGGGGTAAGACTACTTCATTCTCTGCAGTGATAAATATTTTAAAATTTATCCATTATGTACTATGATATTTTGTTTGTTACTATTCTGTTTTGATAATACTTAATTTTATGTACTATGCACATATTTTGATATTTGGGTTATGGTTTATATTTCCTTTTAGGGTATAGTGATTATTGTTTAGGGTTTAGTTTTTAGAAAATCTGGATGTTACGTTTAATTTTATTAATTTTGGATATATATAGAATATTATTATATTTATATCATTTTATATTTACTTAATATAAACTATACCATTTAGCATGTTCTATTCTATTTATCTATTATCACCATAATCAACGTGGATACTATAACCACCACTAATCTAGTATCTCTTTTTTTTTTTTTTTTTTAAATAACATATGCTTTTGTTACAGGTAACTGGCTTAGAAAAAGGAGAGAACCGGCAAAATAAGAACAAAATGCTATGGGATCAAATAATGTCAAATCATATGCTATATTCTTAATTATCTCTCTAAAATTGGCTATCTCACCAATTAACCCTATGTTTTTTATATATATATATGTTTTGTTCCATGCAAATACTTGGCGTTCGCTTGGCTACCCGTTGTAAAAACTCGATGGACATCAAAGTTCACACACACGTGCACACATATGCTTGTAGCATCTTCCTTATCGTCCAAACAACATGAGAATTAAAAAAAAAAAAAAAAAAAAAAAAAAATTGTGATTCTTTTTACCATGAGAAGCGACCCCACCGAATTAATTAGGGCATCTACTTCAATTTGTGTGTGTCTGTTATCGTAATAATCTTATCAAAAATCTAAAGGTCGTATATGAGAATGGTCAGCTATGCTTTTATTTTCCTTCTTCGACATCTATAAATACCATCTCACATCTTCTCCATTCTTCACACACAGCTATAATACAAAAAAAAAACTCATCAAAGCAGTTGTTTAAAATCTCCTAACTCTTAAGTTGTTGAGTTTTGCTGGTATTTTTCGATAAGTACCATGGATTATAGATCATCTATGGAATCATCAGAAACCCTAAGGTAATCATCTTTTTCATCCTATGCGTGTTATGTCAATCGTTTAATAAAAGTATCCTAAATGAAAAACTCATGGAGTGGCATGCAATAACATAACCAAATTCTATATATGATAATTTGATGAAAACTCAAAATTTTAATTTTCTTAGCTAAGATATATACTTATATATGTGCACGTGCAGGAACAAGTGCGCAGCTTGTTATAGGCAGTTCAACAGGATGGAACATTTAGTGGAGCACATGAAGATCTCTTATCACTCCGGTCATGAGCCTACTTGTGGCGTTTGCAAGAAACATTGCCGATCTTTTGAGTCCCTCCGGGAACATCTCATAGGTAAACAAGAAAATATATATATAGTAATATGTGATTTGTATATACACTACGCATTAGTATATTATATTTAATTTTGTAATTAATGTTAATAGGACCATTGCCAAAACAAGAATGCAAGAACATTTTTAGCCTTCGCGGATGCAGATTCTGCATGATGATCCTCGAAAGCCCGAACGCTCGTAGGATCCATCAAGAAAGGTGCCAATTTTCGAGCGTCAATGATGTACGTAATCTTCTTATTGTCCTTATCCCAATACTCCTCTTCTCATATTTTGTTAATTGAACTTGTAATGAATTGGCCGCATGAAAAATATTCTTACATATATGTCATATGATTATCTTTTCAGGGTTTGGCGACTCGTATGGCGGCCTTAGGCCTAAGAGATAAGGCCATCATCGACTACACGTCGTCGCGCTCTCCAAAAGTGGTTGCACTCTCTTGCAAGATGGTAGGAGGAGGAAGCGACGGGTCGTTGGATATATGCGCAAGGGTCTGCATAACGGATGAGAGCGACAACGTTGTGTTCCACACGTACGTGAAACCGTCAATGGTCGTGACGAACTACAGGTACGGGACGACCGGGATACGTCCGGAGAATCTAAGGGACGCAATGCCGTTGAAACATGCACAAAGAAAGATTCAAGAATTTCTTTGTAATGGAGAACCAATGTGGAAGATTCGTCCAATAGGTGGGAGAGGGAGGATTCTCGTGGGTCATGGGCTCGATCACGATCTTGACCGCCTTCAACTTGAATATCCTTCTTCCATGCTAAGGTGACACTTCTATAAAGAAAAATATAAAGAGGATATATACATAACTATATTTCTTTCGAATATAACCTATATTTTTATGTCACCTTATTATATATTTATATATGTATTGCTGTATATAGGGATACTGCAAAATACCCTCCGTTGATGAAAACAAGCAAGCTGAGCAATTCTCTCAAGTACTTAACCCAAGCCTATCTCGGGTAATATATCTAGTTTTTCTTTTAATTTTTTTTTTATAATAGTACTTTTGAGTCTAGCATATTAGCTTGGAAAGTGTATAATGCATGCATGCTTACGTATGTTCATACATATGTGATGTCAATATTCTCAAATAACATATTAGATGCTATGGGTATTGATGCTATGTATGGGCTTAAAGTTATAAGGAAGAGAGGAGTTCAAATATTGAGCGTAAAATTTTCTAACAAATCAAATTTATCAACCTATTTATTTAATTTTATTTTCAGCCTGTCACAAATTGTTCAAATAGTACATAGTTTTTGTATTTAAAATACTAGGGATCAGTGTGTATGCCTCATATCATATGTTCCATATAATATATGTTTTTGTCGAATGAGTAATCCAAAACACTTGAGATTAATTATACCCATTATCTAATGTTGAAGATTATATACTAATGATGATTATTGATGTGCTTATAGATATGATATTCATGTTGGGATACAAGACCCATACGAAGATTGTGTAGCGACGATGAGGCTTTACAAGAGAATGAGATATCAGAAACACAAGATTGAAGCTTATCCTTTAGCCGCGGACGCGCAGAACCGTAGCAATCAGGTGGCTTGGAGGCAGAGCGAGGTGGACAGGATGTCTCCTGATGAAATGCTCTCCATCTCTCGCTCTGACTACTATTGCTGGTGCTTGGACTCACTCGCTTAATTTCTAAAACAATGGGGCTATTGAGTAATATCTCACAATTACTACACAAACTCTTTTCGAGATTTTAATCTAGTAGTGTGACGTCGAATAAGAATTATTTCTGATTTCTAGTAGTATCTAAATTTTATTTATCTATGTCGTGTTTGATGCGGATATTGTTCTTGTACTTGTAATAATGCATTGCTATTTAAGAAAAAAAAAACTTAATTACTAATCACTTGTTAGCTTTTTGTCTAATATATACACACATATAAATAAATAAATACATAAAAATATGATAACTATATTTTTGTCTATATAAATATGATAACTATATTTTTGCAACAAGACGGTATTTGGCAGGAATAATATCTTGAAAGATGTAAAGACAATAATTATTTAAAAACGACCAGGATTTGAGAACATGCTCCGTCTCCAAGCATCAGACACCAGCTCCAAACTTCATATCTGTTTGGCACTGTTTGTTATTATTGTTGCGCAACGATGGAATCGTGGAAGATATAAAATAGAACAGAATGGAATTTATATAATGTTTTTAGTTATTTTAATAAAAATGTTTTAAACGACAAATGAGAATTTGATATTTGTTTTAATAGTGGTAGTGGCCATAACTTTTCAGTTCTTTTCCTGTAAGTATATATTTTCGTCATTTCTCCCTAATTACAAGTCTATTGTAATCTTGTTTTTTTTTTTTTGACAAAAAAAATCCTTGTTTAATTTATGGGTTTAATTGTATAATGTCTGAGGCTGCTTGAGAGAAGCAGCAAAGAAGCAGTAGTCAATTGCGTTTCTAAAAAGCAATGTCTCTAACCAAGAAACAAATCAATGTTAATTAGTAATAATAGGGTTTAATAATAAAGAGCTTTGTGTATTAGTTTTGTTTTCGATATACCCATTTGTGTATTAGTTAGTACTAGTTTGTAATTTGAATCTAACTGAGAGAGGAGAAGAGAGAGTACCGGGACAAAAGACAGATAAGCTAATTGTGCGGTGGAGTTTACACATAACATTGTCAGTCACGAGTCGTTCTTGTTCTAATAGCACCAAACCCTACGTTTGTTCTTTTCTTCTTCCCTTTTTGTTCAATCACATTTTATTTCGATTTTCAAATTCATAGGTCTCTATCTCTATTCTCTATTGACCATACCCTTGTAATGGTATTATCTCATCTCTTCTCTTTTCTCGTGATATATAAGTTTCTACTCTATTATTATTACGTGCAACCCGGGGCAATTATATATATTCACTATACATAATGAGATGAATGGTTGCAGTCCAAGGAATTTATTAAAATAATCAAGACTTTTTTGGGGATCAAACTATGATCAAGACTATATATCTATTTTTATTGGATACAAACTTGACAACTATAATATTCAATCTACACATTGTAAACATCAAATTATTTACATTTCAGCCTGCAAATCATAATTTAAAGAGAGTTTCCCACTATATATTAAATGGTTGTGATTTTAAATGATAGAAGTCAAATGGTAAATGATTGTGATTTATTTCATTTCAGGTGTTTAAAACAACTACCACCTAAAGCCTTGTAACATGCTATTAGTTATGAGTTATTAATTTTCACTTAACTATTAACACGTGAAGACCATATCTTATGGGAGAAAATTGAATAAACAGGACATTTTTTTTGTTAGACCAGTGTAGAACATGTGGTCCATTTGGCCTTAGGAGTTAGGACCATATGACTTAGTCGATCTAGTTGTTGTCTTCTAGCTTAACTTCAGATTCTTACACCCACAAACACTTCGAGTTTCTTCCCATTGGCACAAAACTCAACTCATCTCTTCCTCTCTATCTTCAAAATGTCATAACTCTCCTCTCACTCCCTCTCTTACCCCTCAAGACAGATTTGTAGAATCCATTGTAATGGAAGATCACAAAAGAAAAGCTACATCAGTTACTCTCTTTCTTGCAATGACATTGATATCACTCACCAACGGTGATATCAACTCAATCCAGCTAAACGACGACGTTTTAGGTCTCATCGTCTTTAAATCAGACCTCCACGACCCATCATCACACCTCAAATCTTGGAACGAAGACGATGCATCTCCTTGCTCATGGAGCTACGTCAAATGCAACCCCAAGACATCTAGAGTAACCGAGCTCTCCCTCTCCGGTTTAGGGTTAACCGGAAAAATCAGTCGTGGGATCCAAAAGCTTCAACACTTAAAGACACTCTCACTCTCCAACAACAACTTAACCGGATCCATCATGTCTCTCTCAAACAACAACAATCTCCAGAAGCTTGATCTTAGCCACAACAATCTCTCCGGTACACTCTCTGATGATCTCTTCACCAACTGCTCATCTCTCACGTATCTTTCCCTCTCTCACAACCATCTCGAAGGTCAAATCCCAAGTACTCTGTTTCGCTGCTCTGTTTTGAACACTCTCAACCTCTCAAGCAACCGTTTTTCCGGAAACCCTAGTTTCGTTTCCGTGTTCTGGAAGCTAGAGAGGCTAAGAGCGTTGGATCTATCGTTCAACACTCTCTCTGGAACGTTACCTTTGGGGATACACTCTCTGCATAGCTTGAAAGTGTTGCAGCTACAAGGGAACCAGTTCTCAGGACCCTTGCCTTCAGATATTGGACTCTGTCCTCATTTAAACAGAGTTGACTTGAGTTTCAACAGTTTCTCCGGCGAGGTTCCGGTGACTTTTCAGAGGCTGAAGTCTTTAAACCATTTAGATTTATCCAAGAATTTGCTCTCCGGTGGTTTCCCGGTTTGGATTGGTGACATGACCGGTTTAGTACATTTGGATTTCTCCCAAAATGAGTTAACCGGAGCTCTTCCTTCTTCAATTGGTAGCTTGAGGTCTCTAAAGGTTATAATCTTGTCTGGGAATAAATTCTCCGGCGAGATTCCGGAATCTTTGGAATCTTGCAAAGAGCTTGAGAGTGTTCAGCTCAAAGGAAATAGCTTTGTTGGTAGCATTCCTAATGGTTTATTCAATCTTGGTTTGCAAGAAATTGATTTTTCTGGTAATGGCTTAACCGGTTTAGTCCCAAGAGGCTCAAGTAGACTCTTTGAGTCACTAGTAACACTTGATCTTTCTCACAATAGTCTCACTGGAAACATACCTAGTGAAGTAGGGATGTTCAGCAACTTGAGATACCTAAACTTGTCATGGAACAAGTTTAACACAAGAGTTCCTCCTAAAATAGAGTTTCTACAGAATTTAACAGTCTTGGATCTCAGAAACTGTGAGTTGATTGGTTTGGTTCCAGCTGATATATGTGAGTCTCAGAGTCTACAGATCCTTCAGCTGGATGGTAACTCACTAACCGGTTCTATACCGGATGGAATTGGAAACTGCTCTTCTCTTAAATTGTTGTAAGTCTCTATTTTTTGTAATCTTATTTGCAAATGTTTCCCCCTAATGATTATCTTTTTCTTTTTTTGTAGGAGTTTGTCTCATAACAATCTTACCGGTCCAATACCTAAGTCACTTTCAAAGTTACAAGACCTAGAGATTCTAAAGCTAGAAGCCAATAAGCTTAGTGGAGAAATACCAAAAGAGCTAGGTGGATTGCATAACCTGTTATTGGTTAACATATCATTCAACAGACTCATTGGAAGGTTACCTAATGGAGAAGTGTTCCAGAGCTTAGACAAGAGTGCTCTTCAAGGAAACTTAGGCATATGTTCACCGTTGTTGAAAGGACCTTGCAGGATGAATGTTTCAAAGCCTATTTTCATCGATCCAAACTCCTATGGAAACAGGAATAACAATGAGGGAAGGCATGGAAACCGAACAAGCAGTGGCTCCAGCAAGTACCACAATGGAATGTTCCTTAGTGTTTCAGTGGTTGTAGCTATATCAGCAGTTATACTCATCTTCTTAGGAGTCATAATCGTAACGCTGCTTAATGCATCGGTGAGAAGAAAACTTGCGTTTGTAGACAACGCGTTGGAGAGCATTTTTTCAGGGTCTTCTAAATCTGGAAGAAGCTTAGTGGCAGGGAAACTTGTGATGCTAAACTCAAGAACGTCGCGGTCTTCGTCTTCGTCTCAAGAGTTTGCTAGAAACCCTGAGTCTCATCTCAATAAAGCTTCAAGAATAGGTGAAGGAGTGTTTGGAGCAGTTTACAAGGCACCATTAGGAGAACAGGGGAGAAACTTGGCTGTCAAGAAACTTGTTCCTTCCCCGATTATCGAAAACCTAGAAGATTTTGATCGAGAAGTCCGGATCTTGGCGAAAGCTAAGCATCCTAACCTAGTCTTGATCAAAGGGTATTACTGGACACCGGAGATGCAGCTTTTGGTGTCTGAATACATCCCGAATGGAAACTTGCAGTCCAAGTTACACGAAAAGGAACCCTCGACGCCGCCTCTTTCTTGGGACGCAAGATACAGAATCATCCTCGGTACAGCCAAAGGACTAGCTTATCTCCACCACACATGCCGTCCAACAACCATCCACTTCAACCTGAAGCCATCCAACATCCTCCTCGACGAAAAACACAACCCTAAAATCTCTGACTTCGGACTATCTCGTCTTGTAACACAAGACGGGAACACAACGAGCAACAACAGGTTTCAGAACGCTTTAGGTTACGTAGCGCCTGAACTAGAGTGTCAGAACTTAAGGGTCAACGAGAAGTGCGATGTTTACGGGTTTGGGGTACTGATACTTGAACTCGTGACTGGTCGGAGACCCGTGGAGTACGGTGAAGACAGCGTTGTGATACTTACCGACCATGTTAGGGTTATGTTGGAACAAGGGAATGTGTTGGAGTGTATTGATCCTACCATGGAAGATGAATACTCTGAGGATGAGGTTTTGCCTGTTGTGAAACTTGCTCTTGTATGTACTTCTCAGATACCTTCAAATCGACCTACAATGGCTGAGATTGTTCAGATCTTGCAGGTCATCACTTCTCCTGTTCCTCCTCACAGGATGCTGGATACTTTCTAAACAACCATGTGTCTATGTGTTAATATAACTTTTTCATTTTCTTTGTTTTTCTTTGTACCTTTTGTAGAGATTGCTTTCTTTCACAACGCTACGTTTCATCATCATACATTGCTATCAATTAATAGGGTTTTTCCCATAAATAATATTTTTTGTTAGCTAGCAAAATGTATAGTTTTTTATATAGTGGCTAGAAATCATGGAACAGGGTAAGAAAGATAGACGCAATAATGTGTGTTTTATTATGTGAAAAGTTGTTTTCTATTGTCTCTTTTGTTTTCGACATCGTTTTCCATTATCTATAATAATTCGTATTCGTATATTACTTGTGGGGCAAAAAGACGTATCACTAATTGAAAGTTTACGCCGTAGTTTTATATCATGTTGATTCACACAAACACAAGCGTATCACGACAGCTCTATTGTTTTCTTTTTGATTTTGTTATTTTCCTATATCGCTGACGTAAAAGTCATACCCAAATGTTAACTTGTATAATTCGGTCAGAATATTGAAAATTGTAGTTTGGATTATCATTGTGAACTTCTTTTTCTGTGGCCAAAATGTGAATTAATTAATCAGCTAAGAGTATACAAAATATTGTACATAAAATCCCTACAAATATAAACAACAAATTCAATAACACAACTCATTGTTATGAATCTTATGATGATTATAGACTTATAGTTATTCTTTTCGTTTCATGAGTCTCCCTATAATTTTCAGCTTCCATCTTTCAAATAGAAAACTATTTCTATTATACTATATTAATTTTGAATGAGCTAATTAAGTAGGTTTTATTTCATGGCGTGTGGAAGTTGCACGCTTCCGTTATAGACTAACATCCTAAACGATGTGTTATGGTATTGAATGTATAACATAGACAAGTAGTTAGGACTTTCTTTTAGGACTTTCCTGATAATGATATAATGACTACGATATAAGATAATCGACCATTTCTTAATGGTACTTCTAAATCACTTGTCAATATTCTATCATGTATAAGTATCCTTACGGTTGCGTCTATAATTTGTAAACATATATGTTTTTTGTTCAAAAAAAGAAAAATACTGCCACTTTCGTTATAAATCATGTTAAATGGTTAACGTTTCTAGCTAGCTAATCGACCATTTCTTAATGGTACTTCTAAATCACTTGTCAATATTCTATCATCTATAAGTATCCTTTTATGTTTAACAATTCATACGTTGCGTGTGTTATTTGAAAACATATATGTTATTCAATTTAAACTAAAATAATGTATCTTTCTCCTATTATTTTTTTTATAATTTTTAAGACGAATAGTTTTAAAAATAGAATATCTGAAATATTTACCTCACATACGAATAATAATTTATAAGTATATACTAGGGTTTGAAACTCATCCACACATGATACATAAAAAGGATGGCTTCAAGGGTTGTCTAACTGAACACAATAATTTTACATAGAAAGTTAATTTAAGATTTTGGGAAAATTAATAAAAATAAAAAGATGTTGGGAAAAATAAATTTTAAATTAGTTTGGAGTATATGGACAAAAATATAAAAGTAAGAAAATACATGTGACATGGTATTTTATTTGCTTTACTATATTTTACAAGTGTGCGTACACAATACACATCTGCTGAAAATCTAGCTTACACCCACTCACACACACTATTAGTATTTTTCTTCTTGTCTTCCCCAAAAACAGAACAACTCTGTTTCTCATCTTTACATCTTAACTTCGTCTAAGAAAAAAAAACGTCTTCGAATCTCCACATCTACACAAAGTAACAGAGAGCGGAAGAGAAAGTAGAGAGAGAGGAGATGGCGCGAAAGTATTTTCAGAGAGAGGTGTTGCCGGTAATGGCGTTGGTGATAATGGAATGTGCCAACGTTGGTTTAAACACTCTGTTTAAGGCAGCGACTTTGCAAGGGATGAGTTTTCATGTCTTCATCGTTTACTCTTACGGTCTCGCTGCTCTTCTCCTCCTTCCTTCTATATTCTTTTCCTCAAGGTTAGGGTTCTTCTCTTTCTCCCTTTGCGAAATTTGAGCTGAAGTGTTGTTCTTGAAATAGAGAGTGATGGGTTCTTGTGTTAATTTTGACAGATCAAGAACGCTTCCACCGATGAATTTCTCAATTCTCTACAAAATTGTGGTTCTAGGGTTAATTGGGTAAAGTTTCATTTCTTTACAATTTTTTAAACTTTGAAACAAAGCATACATGTCTGATTCGAGCTTTAGTCCTGATCGGGTAAGATCTGAAAAAAAAACAAGAACTCATTTGCATCAGAGTTCTTGAAAACTCTCAGATTTTTCTTACCCAATCTTTGAAGACACTTGGCTTAAAGTTGCTCCCAAAAGCTGCTACTGTTTGGCAAAAATCTAACCCTACACTTTCGTCTTTTTTTCTTTATTGTGAATTATTTTTTATTTTTGCTGTTTTTTCATGATGGAATCTATTATTTCCTGTTATAGATAAATCAAAATCAAATCATCTTAAATACGTAAATAGATGCTCTTTAAACTTGGGAGAATTTCAAGTTCACCACAGATTTCATATTTGATCCATTTAATTATAACAAACATTTTCCTGCAAAACTCTAACACCATTTTATTTTGTTGTCCATTTCTAATAAATTATTTTTGTACTTTTTGGAAGTAGTTGCTTTCATCTTCGTAATAATCGAAATATAATATTTTTTATATAAATTATTTAACAAGAAATCGTATTAAAATAATATAGATGCTGCTCAAACATAATGGGGTACACAGGAATAAATTATAGCTCTCCAACACTTGCTTCTGCGATCAGCAACCTCACTCCAGCGTTTACCTTCTTACTCGCCGTCCTTTTCAGGTTTGTTTATCCCTCTTTATATATTCCTTTTACACTACCAATTTCCTAAAAAGCCATCGGCCCGTGAAGCGTATTTGGGCCTTTGTAAATTCTTTGGAGTTTGGTGTTGGTTGTAGGATGGAGAGTGTATCTTTCAAGAGAATGAGTAGTGTGGCTAAAATGTTAGGAACCGTAGTTTCCATTGGAGGAGCTTTTATAGTGACTCTTTACAATGGACCTGTGGTGATTGCTTTGTCACCACCGTCTATTTCCTTGAGGTCACAGTCGACAAACCATAATTGGATCATTGGCGCTGCGTTCCTTTCCGTTGAATATTTCATGGTTCCTTTGTGGTACATTGTTCAGGTAGACTTTAATCAAACTCAAATTTGCATTTATAAACTCTTTTGAGTGCCTTATGTTTTGTCTAGTAAAATTACATATTTGTTGATAGAAAATAAAAAGAATATTAGATTATGATATTATAAAATATACGTATGTAAAGAATTATAAATGCTTTATTTACATAATCAAACTCTAAAACAAATGTTTTTCTCTCTAAGTATTCTTCCTTAATTCATGTTTAATTGCATTTGTTTACAACATAAACTCTATATATGTTTTTCTCTCTTTTATGATCTTGATTTTTCCTTTTGTAGACTCAAATCATGAGAGAGTATCCATCCGAGTTCACCGTCGTGTGTTACTATAGCTTTGGCGTGAGCTTTTGGACCGGGCTCGTCACTTTGTTCACTGAAGGGAGTGACTTGAATGCATGGAAGATTAAACCAAATATAGCTTTAGTGTCAATCGTTTGCTCGGTAAGAACATAACTTATTCATGAGGTTTTTCCTTGACACTTTGTGAGTAATTAGTGACTAATAAGGAGATTTTTTTTTCTTATGTTTAGGGAGTTTTTGGATCTTGCATAAACAACACAATCCATACGTGGGCGTTGCGGATCAAGGGGCCTTTGTTTGTTGCAATGTTCAAACCTCTATCTATTGCTATTGCCGTTGCAATGGGTGTGATCTTCCTCCATGATTCTCTCTACATTGGCAGGTGAATAAAACTCAATAGTAGAAAATGTTGTACATTCAAATATATTCTAGTAATTTACCAATATTAGTTAAGGTATGGTCTAGCAATAGGTTAATGTGTCAATATTTCATTTTCATCTCTACTTAGCTTACTCTTTTGCTTCCATTTTTTGTGGTTGAATGTTGTTGATCTCAGCTTGATCGGGGCAAGTGTAATAACGACCGGGTTTTACACTGTGATGTGGGGAAAAGCTAAGGAAGTGGCAATGGTCGAAGATGACAACAAGGCTAACAACGAGGATGCCACCAACGAAGGTGATCTTGATTCTCCTTCAGGTTCACAGAAGGCTCCTCTCTTGGAAAGTTACAAGAACGATGAGCATGTTTAAGTATCATCTACCAAACAAGATAGCTCTATATATATGTCTAAAAGTTATGTGAATGTCTTTTCTAATTTATTTGACGAGAGAAAAGTGATATTAATTGTAGAAATAAAGTTTAGTTAATATTTAATATCAAACTTTTCTGAATGTTAAACCTGATTAATTTTCGGACTCATCAACTGAGAATTAATCATTTTTAATATAGAGTATTCCAAACCTATAGAAAGATCCAGGATAATCCATAAAACGAGATATAACATACGGACAGATCCTCTTTCTGAAAATTCAAATTGAAACTCACACGATATGAAATGTATTGAGGCATGTTCATTTGGTTAGTCCGGTTTATCCAGGTTGATAGTTTTGTTTTCACCTTTTTATGTTCATCTTGACTGTGAGCTGCACACTCCTCTGGGGAATAAGCAGGTGAAAGTTTCACCGTGAAATAGTCCTTAGGACCGTCACTATAACATACTTATACATTTCTCACATGCCGAGTAACAAGCTTTAACCCTTAGTCCCGGCTAATTCGAGTCATGTTTAGTAAGTCACAATAGATGCAACCAAGTGTCTCATCTCCTCTATGTATAAAAATTGTCCAGAAGAACCAATGAGCAGCCGAGACAACAGCAATGTCTGTACTTGGCAGACCCTTTAGACCATCTTTCATCCATCTTAGCAAATATCTAAACCAAACACTCCAATTCCCGTCTTGTTAATGTCTATCCTCTCTCGTTCAAATCCTGTTTATGTCTTATCTATCCAGTGTATATATCCATAGGAGTTTCTTCCTGCACAAGCAAAAGCTACTAAACTTCTTAGTAAACAAAACTTACATGGGCCTTGAAACATTTAATCTACTGCTCAAATTGGATCTAGTGGTTCATTAACGCATGTTTATTTGTTTACGCCTACAATGCATTTTATTGATTCCAATCCAGTCCAAGTCTCGCAATACTTCATCTGTTTCATAATAAGTGTCATTCTAACTTTTTTTTTTTTTTACACAAAAAGTGTTTACAATTCCAATGCAAATTATATTTACTTTCAGCTGAAAATTAATTATAAATTGCATTGATTTTATAAATAATTCTATTTATCTAAAATACTATTGGTTAAAAAGATATTATTAATAACAACTTACATATATTTCAACAATTTTCTTAATCTGTATGAAAAATGTCAAAATAACACTTATTTAGAAACGGAGGGAGTACAATTTTCACTTTAAAATTTTATTTTAACATAGGAAAGACCTTCCATTTATGGAAACTAGATATGCAATATACCTGGAGTACAATTGTGCTAGAAGGGTGTAAATGGTGTCGTTACTGTCGTGGATTTTTATGTTCAAGTAAGGTCGTGGATTTAGCTGAATTCAAATCACAAAGGTTGAAAACTTGTAGAAAAAAAGATCAAACTTGTGGAAAAAAGACAAAAGTATAAACGACAAAACTTGTATAAAAGACAAAAGTTGCCAGCCAACAGCGGGAGAAGGGATTGATATTGTGGATTTGATTCAACTGACAAGTTGAACATGGCCGTAACGGAAAGGCTGGCTAAGCCGAATAAGACGCTGAACCGAAGGTTGAAGATTGTATATTATTTAATTAAATTGCCGAAATCGAAAAAATCATTATCCATACAGAATTTTGATAGTATTTATGTAACTATATTTTATATTTCGTATGGAATGTATATTTCAAATAACTTTTTCAAACACGGTACATTGTTAATTCATGTTCTTAAAACAGTTGAAACTTGATGGTTTCGTTCTTTTATCAAAGTTTTTCTATATACTGAAAACATTTTCTTACTATACATAACTGTAATTTCATTTGACGACAATTGGTTTTGGAACTAGTTCACATGTACTAATAAAAATCATAGTTTACATGTTAATAAATAGTTTTGTTCTTCAGGCTTTTAGAAAGAAAGAAGATTATATAATTATAAAACTAGTTCATCTTGATAAAAGAGCAGATAATATGGAACTTCAATTATTTTTAAGTACAATTCATCTGACACATATAAAATTAAATATTCATTTACGATTCTTGTGGTTATAATACAACAACAAAATGTATTATTATTAAATAAACAGTTAATTCATTGTATAGCCAAAAACAATATAAGATAAAATATAATTATTTTTTAAAATTAAAAATATATAACTATTTCAAAATTGTGATTAGAATATTTACCTTTGATATTTCAAAACCTTGTATTGCAAGTAGACGTTACTTTTTGTTGTATTTTAATCATTTAACAGATATATTGGTATTCTTGCTAACTTTTGGTATAATAATCTTTAAAATCATCTTCATTTTCACTTAATATTTTACTTTAAAAGAGAATAAAAAATAAGTACTGGAAAAAATACTACATTTATAAAAGAATAACTTCATTTTTATTTATTATTTTATTTTACATTCTATTTTACCGTAAAAATATGGAGTGTGATTAAGGTTTGTAAACTATTTGAACTATTCAGTTATTGATATCATTCTTTACCAATAATAAAATCAAGCAGGCATAAAAGATCATGTATTTTGATTAGGACGTGGTTATATTAATGCGACAATCACGTTTGGAACATTATAACAGTTCTAGTTGTAAATTTTGGTTGCAATTACGAAGTCTGTCGGTTCGTAATTGTTTTTGTGGTGTGAGTTTCTCCGAGAAACTTATTGGATTTCATTTGGCATATCATATGGTATTTTTTAAAACAAAGTTTCAACAAACATAAGAAAAGTTAAAATTGTATTCGCTGGTAGACGACCATTGATGCTGACCTTCTTTGATCTAGCAACAATTTTTCTGAATCAAATATAGATCCTTGACTAGTAGATGATTATATTGCAAATCTAACCATAATGCAGATCCCATCATTATGATATATATGGTATAGTAGCTAAATTATGCGAACCCGAGAGATTTTATTTTGAAATCCCCAGTCCAATTATCAGAATCAATGAAATAAAAAACATTAAACATTAGCTTTAATATATGTACACATTATTATACAATCATGGCCAGAGAGGCCATACCACATGTGTATAGTACAATTTCACATGTTACAATGCCAATGAAAATTCACAAAAACTTAAAACATTAGCTTAAGAGTTGAAGACATGTCCCATGTTCACTTTAGCTTATCTCTTCAATATCTCCCTTGATTTTGCATTTGCTTGATTGCTAGGACACACGCACATACAGCCACATGAATTTCCAATGACCCATATGTTTTTCTCGAGTCCAAATTAGTAGTAATAAAACCCCACATATTCTTTTTACATGTATTAAATCTATATTTCGAACATTTACTGAAAAGGTATATAACTGAAACTAACGAGTCATTCAAGAACTTGAGACCTGATGATTCCCGAGGTTCTAGGGTTAGAGATCATAGATAGAGATGCTCGAGACTTTTCATATATATATATAATATACTATATGTGTGGGGAAAAAATAGAGAATATACGTACACATTTGACTTCTGAGCAGTTAAAACACTGCTTGATTCATGAAATCGACCAATCAAAACATGTTTTTTTATGATGGAAGATACGAATTCAATAATTAAAACACATAACCCCACCGATTGCATCTGAAAAATCTTAGAAGCATCGATCACTAATTGCTCTATTACATTATTGGCAAAAGTTAATTATAATAAGCTATATACCAAAATGAATATATATGATTGAGAATAGAAGATACAAAACTAGACCTTACTTCAGTGAGACTACTGAGGAGAGAGCCGGTGCCTCTACTAATGGCATATACTCATATTACAGTTTAACATAACACATGCAATTTTTTTAAATAGTTTGTTGGCGACAAAATTAAGAAACTTGTCTAATAAATGCTAAGTGGAAGGAAGCCCCATCAGCAAGAAAACTCTTTGAAAAATGAGTTTCTCCAGTGATGCCTAGTATTTTAGTTTAATCCTGTAGGTAACTTTGTATGCCTAGTATTATTAGTTTAATATAATCTGAATGTATAAGTTTTAGCAATTTAAAAAATTTTTTTTTTTTTTTTTAGCAATTTACCAGCTAACGCGCGTTTTAGGTCAACTGCTAATTGAATCTGGTCAATATATAACTACCACATAAGCATGTCATAGGAGACTAATATAAAGTGAATATAAACATGTGAGTTTTATAACTTGTGTAGCTGTATTGCAAGTTTAACAGTAGTATATATTCCATCCAAAGTCAAACTCGTTAAATTCAATATTTATCCACCGTTTATTTCAGTATTTTAATCACTATTGTGATAGATATTAATATGATAACAGAAAATACGTTTTAATATAATAGTTTATGGACGCCAAATAGAGACTTCCCATGTGCTTTTATTTCATTCATGCTGTTAGTGTTACTATCTTTTTCTTATAATACTTGAAAATAGTGACTTTAACTTTACTCTTTTCATTTTCATTGAAAGTAATTACCGTACAAATAGAATAATGTTAGCATTGCTGAAATAACATGCTTACGTTTGTATCAGAAGCAAAAATTAAGGGGAAATTATCCCAATCAGTGGGCTACAATAAGCAGGTACATTTAACACTGTGAACCATGATAATTATTATATTGTCTGAAAGAAATTGGAAGAAAAGTGAAGGGGACAACATAGCTGCGTTCTCCATTAGTGTCCTTTAAATCAAAAGCAATACTAAAATTAATTTGTCTTAAAGTTGATCTAATTACATTTTAATAAGTTTGATATGATCTTCGCTGGACCGAGTTGTCATCCTTGAATTCCCTACCAATCATCCACATTAATTTGTGGCCTTTTCTTGGAATCGGCTTATTTTCCTTGCGTTTTCATTCGTTTTTTTGTTAATATGCATGTATCCAGACAGTTTTATGACTGCATATTCTAATTTTTTTTCTTTTGAAAAAAAAATTCTAAAAGTTTTTTTACTCACTCAGCAAATAATTTTTTCCCCCGGAAACTAAGGGGAATGAGATATTAAGTTCCCGAAAAATTTAGTAGACACGTCTTTTTTGGAACATTAAAACGTCTTTTTGGAACATTAACACGTCTTTTCTTTTTAAGGTAACTTTTATGTTAGTTTCAAAAAAGGGGGTAACTTTTATGTTTTATAAAATGAACAACTTAAATAAAATAAGATTTAGGGGATGACAAAAAAAGTAGAATTTAGAGTTTTGGCCTTGCTGATTTTGTTTTAGTGGCTTACGTTTAAACTTTATAACAATAAATACAAATAATATATATCTTTTCCATTAATTCCTAATAAACTTGGTAAATATAATTAAAATATGATGTAAGAGACAAAATAACTTAAATATATCGATAGTATCTTTCTGACGTATATTTTGTAATATTCCTACTTATCAATTTTATATTTTACTATATAGAGAATTAAACATTTAGAAAACAACTGTTTGGTTTTCCATATTACCACTAAAATCCAAAAAATTCAAATACCATAAACGTTAGATTTATGTGGGATTCCTACAAATACAAGAAAACTTATTTTTTTGATGTATGAATACTTCTTGAACGTTTAGAAACCCTTTTCCGAAAAAGCTTCTCTAAACCTAAGATATGAAGTGTTTGAAATGTTTAGATTCCGGTGATAATTTCAAATACAAAACTTAATATATTGTATACTATGATTTGTTTATTGTTTTTTTTGGCTATGAAAGGTTGAAAATTATATGTTGCCAGAAAAAAAGATCCACCAATATAAGAACTGGACTTTTCAAAAAAAGAAAAAAAATCCAAAATTTCTTAAAATAATAACTTTTCCTATAAAAAAGAGAGGAAAATTCAAAGAAATGAGGACTCTCTTGTTCTTCTTCTACTTCTCTCCTCTTTTTATTACCAGTTGTTCACTTCATCACATGATCCTCGTCTCTCCCTCTCTCTCTTCACTTACACCGCTGCGCAAAGCGTATCTCAAGTTCTGATCCGATCACTGTTTTGTCTGTAAAAACAAACGATCCTGTTTTCATGGAAACTTTAATGAAACAGTAACGACCCAAAACTCCTTCTTCTACTTCCTTATTTCATCTTTAAAAATGACAAACATTTCTTAGTACCAACCACACTCTTTACCCTTTCTCTTCTTTCAAAGTTTTTTCATTTCATGGCTCCAAACACAGTAGCAGTGACAATGGAGAAGCCAGACAACTTCTCTTTACTCGAAATCAACGGCTCAGATCCATCCTCACTCCCTGACAACAAAAGAAAATCAATCAGCCCAAAACAGTTCTCATGGTTCCTCCTCCTCAAAGCTCACAGAGTCGTCTCTTGTCTCTCATGGCTCTTGGCTTCAGTCAAGAACCGTATCGCTTTCTCCTCAAAGAACGTAAACGAAGAAGAAGACCCCAAAAGCAGAGGAAAACAAATGTACAGATTCATCAAAGCCTGTCTTGTCATCTCCATAATCGCCTTGTCAATAGAAATCGTCGCTTATTACAAGAAGTGGAATCTTGATCTCATAAACCGACCGTCTTGGGAGGTTTTTGGACTTGTTGAGTGGTCTTACATGGCTTGGCTCTCGTTTAGATCCGATTACATTGCTCCTATTGTCATCACTCTCTCCAAGTTCTGCACTGTCCTCTTCTTGATCCAGAGTCTTGATCGGTTAGTCCTCTGTCTTGGCTGCTTCTGGATCAAACTCAAAAAGATCCAACCAAAGCTCAAAGACGATGAAATCGATCTAGAAGACCCATCTAACTTCCCTATGGTCCTTATTCAGATCCCAATGTGCAATGAAAGAGAGGTAAAACTATAAAAATACTCTGTTTTGCTCTGTTTTTTCTCTGTTTTGCTCTGTTTTTACTCTGTTTTCCTCTGTTTTATGCTCTGTTTTTTAACTGTTATGTTATGTTTTTGTTTAGGTGTATGAACAATCAATAGGAGCAGCAGCACAGCTAGATTGGCCAAAGGATAGGATCTTGATTCAAGTTCTAGACGATTCAGATGATCCAAACTTACAGCTTCTGATCAAGGAAGAAGTATCTGCTTGGGCAGAGAAAGGTGTAAACATTATCTACAGGCATAGGTTGATCAGAACTGGTTACAAAGCTGGGAATCTCAAGTCTGCAATGACATGTGATTACGTTAAAGATTACGAGTTTGTTACCATATTCGACGCAGATTTCACGCCAAGTCCTGATTTTCTCAAGAAGACAGTTCCTCATTTCAAGGTAATAAATCTAACTCAAATCTGTTCATGCTGAAAATGGAAATATATTTCTTGGAGTTTCGTAAGTTACGATGATGTTTCAGAGTAGATTCAGTGAAATTATTTGATGTTTTTAAAATTTTTAATAGGAAGATAATCTATCTATTAATGATATAATCGTCACCGACAGTTGTCTTGGTTTTTTAATTCTATCTTTATCGGTGGGTCATGTTCAAAATAGCCGACAAATATAATATAAAGTTTTTTTATACGTATGAAATCATAGTAGAAAGATAAAAATGCATTTCACAAAAGCAACAGCACTAGTCTTCAGATTAGTTGAACCTAATCTTGATTACATTTTATTTTGGTTTTCGCTTTGCGTTTTTAGTTTACATATTTACATGCCTTCATGTTTTTTCTTAATAATAAAATGAGCACTTTAACCTTTACTTTTATCAAGTGTAAACAAAAAAGATGGTTAGCATTTTACATTTTAATGAAAAAGATTAAGTTAAAGATCTGGAAAAATAATATACAAACGATGGAGCATGTGTATTTTATTAGAAAAATAAAAGAGAAGCTAAAAAAGAGTGTGTTATATTGTTTCTTGCAGGGGAATCCGGAGCTAGGACTAGTACAAGCAAGGTGGTCCTTTGTGAACAAAGACGAGAATCTCCTCACGAGGCTACAAAACATAAACTTATGTTTCCACTTCGAAGTAGAGCAGCAAGTGAACGGTGTGTTTCTCAACTTCTTTGGTTTCAACGGAACAGCAGGAGTCTGGAGGATCAAAGCTTTGGAAGAATCAGGCGGGTGGCTCGAGAGAACAACAGTTGAAGACATGGACATTGCTGTCAGAGCGCATCTCAACGGTTGGAAATTCATTTACCTCAATGATGTTGAAGTCACTTGCGAGTTGCCTGAGTCTTATGAAGCTTACAAGAAGCAGCAACATCGTTGGCATTCTGGTCCTATGCAACTTTTCCGGTTATGCCTTCCTTCTATCATAAAATCTAAGGTAAACTTAAACCAAAACTCACTTTCTATAACCATCTATAACCAATGCTTAAATTAGCCGTCTAGGTAGTTTATCGGGCCAGCTTGAGAACAACTCATAGTGGTTTGTGTTACATTCATGCTTATCGCGAGACTTCAACTTAAAATCAATTGGCGATAAATCGATTGATTCTATTTCTTTATATATTTAGTTAATTATTTTTAATTACCGATGTGAGACTTCATTCATTCATTAATATTTAGTTTTCGATTTTTGATTTTGTAGATATCGGCAGGGAAGAAAGCAAATTTGATCTTCCTCTTCTTTCTCTTAAGGAAGCTTATTCTTCCTTTTTACTCATTCACACTCTTTTGCATCATACTTCCATTAACCATGTTCATACCTGAAGCCGAGCTTCCTTTGTGGATCATCTGCTACGTTCCTATATTCATTTCCCTTCTCAACATCCTCCCCTCACCTAAATCTTTCCCTTTCTTAATCCCTTACCTCCTTTTTGAGAACACAATGTCTATAACCAAGTTCAATGCCATGATCTCCGGGTTGTTCCAACTTGGATCAGCTTACGAGTGGGTTGTGACCAAAAAGACTGGGAGATCATCTGAATCTGACTTGCTAGCGTTTGCTGAAAAGGAAGAGAAGTTGCATAGGAGAAACTCGGAGTCAGGTTTGGAGCTTTTGAGCAAACTCAAGGAGCAAGAGATGAACCTTGCTGAACAAGAAACACCGAAGATGACCCTTGGAGGGCTGATAAGGCCGAAGAACAAGATCAAGAAGAGGAACATGGTGTTCAAGAAAGAGCTGGCACTAGCGTTCTTGCTTTTAACTGCAGCTGCAAGGAGCTTTTTATCAGCACATGGTCTTCACTTCTACTTCTTGCTGTTTCAGGGGCTGTCTTTCTTGGTTGTAGGGTTGGATTTGATCGGAGAACAGATCAACTAAACATACACAAAGGACAGAGAAGAAGGGGGATAAATCAATTTATATTCGCTTACTTTTTTGCTTGTTTTTTTATTCTTTTACCTTTCTTAAATGTGGGTTTTATACATAATTTTCAGAAACTTATAATGTCCAGTTTCAGATAAATGAATGAAACGATTAATTTGTTATATTATATTTGGCCTAGCTGTTAAAAACCATACCTCTCAGATGTTATGTAGGATTGATTTAGATTCTGCTAGTGATCAAACTAAGTGATGAGCCAGAGGGGTTTGCCTGTATACCATGGTTGTTTTTTTTCCACCAATGATGCTAAAGAGTTCAAGGAAAGTATTACTAAGACGATTAGCATGCAATAACTAGGTTTTATTTTTTTTGTAGCACTAGACTTTGTATGAAGTTCAGCTATTTCAATAAATTTGCTATAACCCTAAGTTTATCAATCAAGCAAATACATATATCATTTATCTATGTTAAGACTATAGACCATATTAAGGATTTAATTAGGTAAGAAACTATGATATTTTCTTATTTGATGTTTTCATATTTAATTAGGGGTTCTAATCAATATGATATTTTATTTTGCTATTGATCAAAAAAAATTTCCTATACGGTTCTATCGTTTTAGAGAAAGTGTGGCTGTGTGTAGAAATGTAATACTAGTGTTCTAAAAATCGGTTTAGGCGACGTTTAGACGTCCGTCTAGTCGGCAAATCAGATATAAGCGAAACGATTTTTCCAAACCAATTTTTTAAAAAATCGGTCTAGATGTTCAAAAAATCGGTCTAGGCGCTCGCGTAAATAAATATCTTCTATAAAACGCATAACCACCTTCTAGCGATTTTTAGAACATTGTGTAATACCACTGATCGAACCCTCTAGATTCAGCATTCGAACATATTATATTGGAAGTTTGGAATCCTCTAGATTGAACACGCCGGGTTGTGTAAAATTTACGGAATGGGGCAAATGGCGGTGGTTAAATTACATTGCACTATGCACTCACTTCAAGTTCTATTTGTAGACCATCAATACACAAATTTTATCACTAAGTGAGGCTTCAAGCAAATCTACTAACTTCAACAATGTCTAGCTCAAAGTCCTGTCTCTCATTCTCCTCCATTTTGGTCATACTTTTCTCACTCTCTTTACCTGTAAGTCTCTTGTACTCATTTTCTAGCAATCTTTTTCTTTGGCTAGTTTTGCTTTTAAACTTTAAGAATAGTAGTCAGTTCATTATGTTTTGGTTAGGTCAATTCTGATGTCGAAGTAAAGAAGCCACCACAACCGCTCCAGCCGCTAGCTCCTGTGGGCAAACCGTCAGCTTCTCCTCAGCCGGCACCAACGGTTAAACCGCCTTCACTTCCAACTACACCGATTCCACCACCAGTTATTGCAAAAGGTTAAAACATGATTACAATACATTTTCTAGCAAATATTACAAAATATCATATCGTCGTTTTTAACATGTGATTAGAAATGGTACGTCGAAAGTAAAAAAGAACCTAATCTTACGCATAAAAAATACGAGTTTTCTCATTCATGTTTCGAGATGGAAACTCATGAATTTATTGACTAAAAATTAATCCAAGAATTTTAAACCACAAGTAAGATTTGGTTAAAGGTTAGTGAGCCAGTGCATGGGTCACAATGAACCAGTTTTCAGTGGCGTGTGCCGATCGATAGAAGTATAAAAAATGATCTACTTAATGAGTATGTAGAACTACATATTTTTACGTATACTAGATAAAATGCTTATTAATTCGATTTTTCTTACCAGTTATTGCTCATTGATGAACAGATTGCCCGAAGTTGTGTGATGTTAGATGTGGTTCGCATTGGAGACCGAAGGTGTGTATTAGAGCATGCAGAACATGTTGTCTCAGGTGCAAGTGTGTACCACCCGGCACGTATGGAAACAAAGAGAAGTGTGGCAAATGTTACTCAAATATGACTACTCATGGTGGTCGACCTAAGTGTCCTTGATGCGCTTATATATATATATATTTTACGTAACTTTGTGTGATCAAATGTTCGATGGCACATCTGTGTTATATGGTTTATGCAACTTTGTGTGATCAAACAACAAGTGTTTGATGTTACATCTATGTTAACGTTATTAATGTATTCAGGAAGAGACCAAGGAAAAGTATCAAATGTCACATTTCATTGCTGTTTCAGTTATCTTTGTATATATTTCAGTGATTACATTTCGAAAATTTTATGGAATTAGGGAAAAAGTTTGAGACTTCGAATTCTTATCTTTTTTTTTGAAAAAAAAGTTTATATAAATATTAGTAAAATTCGGCCAACATAGACAAATGTAACTACTTGAAATATTCGGGTATATGGTGATGGTCAGCTCTTTTTATGGCTTTGACGGCCAAGATCAATGACAATGTACACCTTGTGGGTCCAATAGCACATGCATCGACAAGAATCACAACTGTGTCTAGCTATCATTACAATTTTTTCCAATTTCTCCTATAATTTGTCGTTATCACTCGTTTTTAAAGTAAACTACATGCAAAACAGAGGATTATACGATGTCTCTAATAAACAGTGATTGCAACTTCGATCATCTTCCTTGTTGGGACTAAAGCTGTGATTCAAATTTGTGCTAAGTAATGGGGGTTGTGTGTGACTTAATTAGATCCTTCACTATAACGTCATGAAAAATAACTACTTGGCGGAGAGTCGAATACAATCACCTGTATGAAAAATAGAACCCGAGATGATGGTCACATAGGAGACCTGATTTCTAAGGTCCACCAAAATTTACCGTAACTTTGCATGTAGTTCGCAGAATCACACCATCTTTATATATCATTTCATCACCACTACCACCACCGACACCATTACTAATCAGCATATCATCATCATCACCATTTATCATTGTTAACATCACCACCATTCTCAAAATCACCATAAGAGAATAAATTATTTGACAAACATATTCGGATAAGAAAATGTGTTAGGTAACAATAACATCATTACACGTGTTCTATTTTACAGAATCCGAAATTTGAATTTCTTGGAACTTAGTAACAACTAACAAACGTAGTGGTCTGACCTAAACATATTGCAGAATGTAACATTATTTTAGCCGAAATAATATTTTACTTTCTTCAATACGCATTTGAATTATTTGATTAATATTTATTAATATGTTTCCATTTAGATGGAAATAAGAGAGTCAGAAACATGTTTGGATTCTCTTCACTGTCGATATCTTATGACAATTTGGACCATTACAGATGTATTTTTGCTGTTATTTCTTTCTATTTGGGTATTAGTATTGCAAACAGAAGATAACAATTGTTAGCCAACCCCAAGACGCCTGTCTATTATCATTCAGCACCGACATTATACACACAAATAAATAATCACAAGGACCATAAAAATGTTTATGCGCGGTGATTATAAAAATACTCCTATAGAATCATCGCATAGATAGTTGCATTGCAATTACAACCCAAACGAGATTTCTTAAACTTAGTGCTTATTAGACATGATTCAGGGGACCATTCCGTTATCATCAAGCATAGGTAAGATAAATCATTTACTTTAATTAAAAAACTCAAAGCATCATTCAGTCGAGACAAAAGATGACACTTTCTGTCTTCAAAACAAGTGTACTCAACGGTTTAGATAGATTTTCGAAATGTATTAATCTTTTAGTCCAATGTTACGAACTAATAGTCAATAGTACTTTTTCATCCAATGTCACAAACTAAAAGTCATAATGATTATGAAACTACGGAATCGCCACAATAATTTCAAATTAATCAAATAAAATCCATGATAATTTTTTAGATTGCTTCTCTAAGTTCTCTTCTCTGTCTTCTCCGCGTGGACGAGAGAGCTATCACACACACAAAGTTTAGATGCATGTGAACTACGTAATGTCCGTCAATTACTCAATTAATTTATCTTTTAACAAAACAATTAATTTATGTTTTTTTTAACAAGACAATTAATTTAATTTATCTACAGAAATAATTGAGCAAAACATATGCTTCATCATCATTTCATTTATGTAATCATCCCTATATTACATTTATATAAAAAAACATTTATCCCCATATACTTTAGCAAATCTAATTTATCGTAGATGAATTTCATATTTTTATTAACAGATATTCTTTAATCAACTTACAACTCCTATTACCTTTTTCGAATCAATATTCTTTTTTGGAATCACCATATTATAGTAGTTAAGGTCTAAAGGCTTCTACGATAAGTTTAGAGTTCGAATTTCAGGCTATGCAGTTTTTACACCAAAAGAGTTTCAACTCTCACAGAAGGTGAATGGCGAATTATGCAGATTGGAGAAAAGGCTTACAAGAGATCTTCAGCATGACGCAAAAAATACCGTCAGAAATGGATCTCATAAAGTGGCTCAAGGTGATGCAGTCAGATGTGAATCCACATAAGACATGTAGAATTTTTAGCTGTACTATCGTCTATATAATATTTCTCATATTTGTAATGCATAATTAACCAGTGTTTAAAAAAAAATCAATATTCTTTTATTTAGTTTAAAACAGATCAATTTCTTTAGTAAACCGGAGTTTTAAGTCCAATAAACCGGATCCTCCACTCCAGCTCGCGTTATTGACTTACACACACATCCCCGTGATTAGTGGACCGTGCTTCACATCGGCGCGTGGTCCTCACTCTCCCTCCCACTTCATCTTCTTCCTCCCATTATATTCCCAACCCCCTCTCTCTCTCTCACTCTCATTTCTCTCTCTCTCTTCAACTTCAACAATGACGCAACCTTCACCACTCAAACCTCTCTCCTCCCTCTTCCTCCTCCTCCTCCTCACTCTCCTCCTCACCACCACCGTAGAATCTCGCCTAACCACCGACCACTACTCCAAAACCTGCCCAAGATTCCTCGACATAGTCCGCGACACAATCTCCGACAAACAAATCACCCACCCGACCACCGCCGCCGCCGTCATCCGCCTCTTCTTCCACGACTGCTTCCCCAACGGCTGCGACGCCTCCATCCTCCTCTCCTCCACCCCCTTCAACCTCGCCGAGCGCGACTCCTCCATCAACCTCTCCCTCCCCGGCGACGGCTTCGACGTCATCGTCCGAGCCAAAACCGCCCTCGAGCTCGCCTGCCCCCAAACCGTCTCCTGCTCCGACATCATCTCCGTCGCCACCCGCGACCTCCTCGTCACCGTCGGCGGCCCCTACTACCCCGTCTACCTCGGCCGCCGCGACTCTCGAACCTCCAAAGCCTCCCTCCTCGCCGACCTCCTCCCTCTCCCTTCCTCCCCCATCTCCAAGACCATCCGCCAGTTCCAAGCCCGAGGCTTCTCCGTTCAAGAAATGGTCGCGTTGAGTGGCGCGCACTCTATCGGGTTCTCGCATTGTAAAGAGTTCGTGGGCCGCCTAGTGGGCCGGAACGGTACTTCCGGGTATAACCCGAGATTCGCTCAGGCGTTGAGACAGGCTTGTTCGAGTTACCCCAAGGATCCGACAGTTTCTGTCTTTAACGACATCATGACACCCAACAAGTTTGATAATATGTATTTCAAGAATATCCCTAAAGGTCTCGGGTTGCTTGAGTCGGATCACGGGTTGTATTCTGACCCGAGGACTAGGCCTTTTGTTGATCTTTACGCTAGGGATCAAGATCGGTTCTTTAAAGACTTTGCTAGGGCTATGAATAAGTTGAGTCTTTATGGTGTGAAGACTGGTCGGCGGGGTGAGATCCGGCGGAGATGCGATGCTATTAACTGAGTTTTTTTTATTTATTATTTTATTTTTAATGTATTTTCGGATTATATTTTGGGGGAGAAATGTGAGATTTGAAGAGTGTTTGAATCGTTTGAGTAATTTGCTCATATGTTTTTTCTGTAATGTAAAACACGTATAATCTATATGGATGATCATTTTAATATGGTGCAAAACTGTATTAACTTTTGTGAAAATATTGAATCTGAAGTTCTGTATTTGAGTGTTAAGATGATTACTCGGTTTAGAATAGATTCCGGTTCAGTGTGAGTAAACCAAAATTGAACCAATACTTTATTTTTCGTTGTGTATTTTTCTCTTGTGTCCCCAACATCTTTTATTCTACAGTATGTTAAAACATGGACAGCTATATCGTTAACGGATATGCAAATCTCATGAGAAGACAAAACAACATAAGTGGAAAATGTTAAAAATCATTCATTACGAGAAACAACAATATCCTTTAAAACACTATGCATATTTTCCAAAGACTATTTGTTTTCTAGCAAACAATGCTAAAACATGCGTCTTGCATTACTAATGTCACAAGCATCGTTTCTTTCTCCAAAAAGACTACTAACCCATACCTGGAGGGTGATCGCCTACAACATCAACTATCACATTCTTAAGTAGCTGGAGCCATTTGAAGTAGCTGATCGAGACCTGCCGTATTGAAGAAATTCACCCAACTAGACATTTACTATTATCTCTAGTGTGTTTGTCTTTCTCGTGTATGTGGTGCATATGGTGAACATGAAAAATTGGTGGGACTAGAGTAATAATAATTAGTGCATGAAAAAAAATAATTTTGCTACTTTCATTTTTCGGACTCTGTATTCCTCTCATTTTAGAAGAGGAACAAATTTCAGCAGACATTATAATCAATTATATGGGCTACACTGAACCTTTTCAAAACATATCATATTTGCATGCGAATCCAATGTCCAAAACCTTAAAATACATATTTTAAGAATGCTTTTGCTTGAGCCCAATGTTTAACATTATTATGTTTGTGAGGAAGAGTAGGGACTGTTTGAAGCAACTCATCAAACCTTGTTGCATCAAGATCAAGGTTATCTTCCAAGACTCTCTCTCTAGTGTCTTTGTGTTTCCTAGCAAAAACTGAATAAACAAATGATGTGTTTTGGAATAGAAGAGAATGAATTCTCCAAATTCCAAGCCTCCCATATCAGATTAGCTATCGAGCTACTCCTCCTGTAGAACCAAGAAAATTGTTACACTCAATATCTCAGATTTTTTAAAATAGAAAACGTTTTGCTTACTAGTTTGTCATGTAAGGAAATGAAAGCGGTTCACGGTAAAAATACTTATGTAATTCGAAATTTCTCCATGTGTAATGTAATAAGCTTCTTTAGAACATTTGTAGTGAGAGTTTTCAAGGAGAATCTCTCACCAAAAAGTAATAATATTTTAATGGGAAGATATTTCAAAAGCTTGATAGATCCATGCCAAAGCCCTTCAATGTGGATGGTCTTAACCCATGTGAGTTCTGAAACAGTCTTTGCTATAGAGCGAACAACATGGTTTCAAGAGTCAACGATCTGATCTTGAGGACCAGAAAAGGAATACAAATAAAATTTAATCAAAGGATAATGACTGTCAAAATTTAACTCAACAATAGAAAGCAAACAGGAGACAAAAGAACCGTTGATCATCTATATTCAGAACATCTAAAGGTGATTATCTATTACCACTTCAAAGTTCCTAACGAACTGAATGTGAGACTGATCCATGAAATTATTTTTGTGAGGTCAACTAGTCCATCAACTAACTAATGGATTAGAATGTATGAACTTATTATGTAACATAACTGGAACTAATATTGATTTGTTTGGAGTTAATTTTTATTTATGTGTTTATTACTTTATTATTTTCCAATATCTCTAAAATTGTATTTTTACTTTTAATTCAACATGCTCATTATATGTAGCCTAGGATTGAGAATTTGGCTTCACATCTGCTGAGCCTAGGGCTGGGAATAATATGTGGACCACCTAAACGAGTAACCGTCCAGGCCTAAGTGAGCCTACAACATGTGTTTATTCGTTCAGACTTGTTGAAAACAAGGTTTATTAAGGAATAGGTATCAACTACTTGCTGGTAATTCCCAAAATGAGATAAAAGAATAGGCACACAAACACAAGAGAGGTCTTGAACAAAATCAAGAACTGATATAACAATGGTAGATGTAAATCCTCAAATGTATTTCCGTTTTATATACATCAAAAGAACAGCAAAACTTTTTACGAAGAAACAAAAAATATAGAATCCATTGAAAATAAATAAATGAATTCAAAGAATTTCTAACTCTTGATTAAGATATTGTCTTTGTGACTTGTGAAGATCATAAGGAGCCCATAGATAATCAACAGGACAAGGCTTACCATCATCAAGTCTTACCCATGGTTTCCCTTTCCCACTCCAATGTATCAAACTCACCGGACCAGGATGCAAAGATCTGCAACTACTCACAACGTTGTCCCCACCTAGACCATGCTGGTTCCATTGATGATCAATAGCTTCAATCTCACCGGAAAACACAAGAAGAAACGGTGGCAAAGAACCCAACTCATAAATCCTCTCTTCTTTCTGAATCTTCATCCATTTTTCGATCTTTCGCGTGTAGTCTCCTTCTCTCCATCTCTCAAGATCAATCACCATCACTCCTGTGTTGAAGTAGCAAGGGGTCTTGGAGTCAAAGACCTGAGAGAGGCTACGATCTGACCAGAAATGATCTGAGAAGTATTTAGTGAAGTTTGCGTGGCAATACTCTGGCGCACCGATGGTTCTTGATCCGGTTAAAGAAGTCTTCCATAGTTTCTTGATATCATCAACTACGATCACATCTGAGTCTAGGTAAATCACTCGATGAACACACGAGGAAAGAATCTCTGACAAGTAGCTTCTTGCGTAGTTCAAGGGGTTATCCAGAGCTTGTCTTATAGAAGAAGAGATGAGATTCTTGACGAGGGTTTCATCGAATGTGTAGACTTTGAAACTCAGAGAAGGAAAAACAGAGGAGAGAGTCTTTACGTGACTTGACCCTGAAGCAATGAAGTGGAAGAAGATGTTTTGAGGGCAAGAGGTGTGTTTGAGGATGGAGTGGACTGCAGAAACCGTGCCACGCAAGTAAGCTGGGTCAAGAGTCATAGCTATGTGAACAGCTGAAGGATCACAAGCTAATAGGAGTCTGTTTTGGGGTAAAACAGAGCATTCTGGTCCGTTTTGGTATGCTGGTGCCTCCATGAAGTCTGAAGATGCGTCCTGGATTTCATCTGGGAATAATCGAATTGATCCAACGGTGAAGAAGGCTGTGGAGATTATTGAGAAGATTATTAATCTAGAGACTAAGCTAGAGCTAGACATCTTGAGAGAGAACTAATATGTTTTTGAAGACTGGCTAAGGATCTCAAAGCCTAGGTCTTCTAAAGTTTTGGTTTTGAGTTTGTTGAATTTATGGAGGAAAGAGAGAGAGAGAGAAAGGTCGAGGAAGAAGATGGAGATGGAGACAAGAAGTGAGACGCGGTTTGGTAAAGAAGAGTAACACGGTCAAATTACGTTAGTTTGAAACTCGTTTCTTATTGTCACTGTCAATGCCTTTTTGTAGATTTTTTTTTTCTTTCTAGAAAAAATAGTTTGAAATATGGTAAAAGTAGAATGTAAATTTCGACAAAATTACAATGTGAAAGCATTTTAGTGGGATATTATCACCATATTTTTTTTTTAACTAAGAAAAAATTAAAAAATATCATCTAATTAAGTAAGTTTTAAAATGATTAACTACATTGAAATATATCTCAAATAGTCTCAAACAATTTTGTTTAAAATAATTTAATTTGAGATAGTTTGGATAAAATTTTCATCATTTAAAATATTCATTCAATAAAACGATCTTTTTAAAAAAATTATATTAAAGATATTTATGATTAAAATCTCCTAGTTAATGTTCTAAGCAAATTCGAATTTATGTTACTAACATTAAATTTTAAACACAGTAGAGAAAAAGAAGTATCCATGAACATTGTTCATTGTATATTGCAAACATTGAAGATACACTTTTCATTGCCATTTTACATACGCACGCCAGTAGTTAACAACATTGACTGTTGTATAAAAATTTGGTATATTTATTGGCGATGACTAACCGTTTCAGTATTGTCATCTCTCTTTTAATTTGCAAATGCGGTTGGTAATCTCCACTATTTTCTTTTGTCGTGGTAATATCCACTATATAACATCCAAAATGTATAACGTATACATATGATCATGGATATGAATTTAAACCTTGAGTCTTCATATTTTTCAACCTTGAAGACTTCCTCAACATTCAACCACTTTTTATTACAGCAATAAATGTTGATAGTGGGGATTAGTGAACCTATCTTAGTCAATATTGACATAGTCTCTTATTAAATATGAAGATTAAATAATACTGTAACTAATTAAACGAATACGCATGTAAATGTAGACATTACACGCATAGACATAAATGTGACCAAATAAAAGGACACCATGTTAGGTGGGAATCCAGCATTTTAGAATATGGGTTGATAATGCTCCAATGAACACATGCATCCATGTGCTTTTCTACTTATTTCGATATAATACATAGTTTAATAGTATATAATTATTGACTGACGTCTAAATGATAATAATATATTTAAACGGTCAGCTCACATTCATTGGATACAATGCTCTTTTCATTAAAATAATATAACATGAATGCTTGTATTTTACTACATAAGCATGTGAGTATACCTCGTTTAGATGGATTTTATTTGCAGGTTTTCACCCTTTTCTATAACTAGAATTTGTTGTTTCCTTATTATTACTATTCTCTTATACGTTTTATAGCAATGATTTACTAATTGTAGCATCATGCCAAACAAATATAATTGTTTCAAATTTATACGACTATACACGCGTCGTATGTTTTTTTTCTCATATGTTGGAATATTCACTTTTGAGTGTTAATAACACATTAGTTTCTTATGGAATAAAAAACCAGCATGTTGGCTTGGGTTTAAGGCGTGGATAAGATCTCTAAAGTATGTTTTACCGTAACAAATGTGTTTGATAAGTCAAGGTAATGCTCACATCCTTCAATACATGTATATGTCGCAGCTCATCATGCATTTGACTTACAGTAGATAGTATCGAACGCTATCCACTATCGCACTTGTCAATAGGTATCCTTGTATATAATATTAACGTTGGAGGTAAATGTTCGGAAAAGTCCCATGTGGATGTCACACAAACGTATACATGAATCGTATACAGAGCTGTTATTGCTCCATCATCTTGATACACGAAAATCTATACAAATATTTTGTGTTTACCCAAAAGCAGCCACTACCCTTTCACTTGTTTTCATGTAAATCATGCAACTGCTTTCTTATAAAATTGATTTTGCAAAATAAAGGTTCACATTATTGTTTGCAATTGTTCATTAGAACTAAATTGGCAAATGAGGGAAAAAAATAAAATGTAACGTTTGAATACAGCTGGATGTGCGGCTATGGGCTGGCAATATCATTACTTTTTGTAATGATTATGCATCTCACTTTGGAATATGTTTACCTAACTACAAAACTTCCTACCATTACCAATTCTAGCGACTTCTTATTAGAAGAGGTTCAATAAAGAGAAACTTTTGGTACGTCTTCTACTTTCATTAGCATCAAAGATTGTGAAAGTTAGGTTATTAATTATCTTGATACGAAAAACATTTGGTTTTAAGTACTTTGATTTCGAATATACAGCTCACTAGTATCATTTTTAAACAAAACTAGATCTCGACCCGCACAACCGTACGGGTATTTTAATACAAAAATATTTGAAAATATATAATACTCTTTCCGTTTCAAATTAGATGATTTTTTAGAAGATTTATTTTGTTTCAAAATATAAGATGTTTTAAAATTTAAAAGTATAGTTTAAGGTTAACTTTAACTTTATTGGAAAATATTCAACCAATAAAATTTTACTTTTTATAATAATTGGTTGAATGATTTTAAAATTATATCTGTAAAAATATTGTTGTAAAAAATGTAAATTCCTTAATCTTTGTGCAATGATCCAACACATCATATATTAAGAAACAGAGAGAGTAAAATTTATCAATAAATAAATATAATTTGATTCTGTATACTATCTAATTTTATAATAATATTTATGTGGTTTATTATATTATTAATATAAATTTATAAATTTGTATTTTATTAACAATTTTTAAAAATATTATTATGTAAAATTACTAATTTATATATTTTTTTTTATTTCTAGATTTGAAATATATGTAAAAAGTAAATTAAGTTTGAACTACATAATACATAAACAAAATTTTGGGATATGTTAAAAGTATTTTACATAATTTTAATTGTTTGTTTATAAATAAAAATGAATTAAAATTTTAATTATATTGTATGATAATTAAAATTTTAATTAAATAATTTTTGAAACTATATCTTGAAAAGATTCTAAAAGATCTTTTAAAAGATTTTGTTAGAATTTTTTAAAACTATTTATTTGTATTTAAAATAAAAACTATATGAAAAGATATTATAATGATGTTATGTAAAATTTTATAAAATTTATAAAGATGGTACAAACTAAAAAATCACACATGAAGTGAGTCATGACTTCTCTTTTAATATAATAGATATATTATAATTTTAAACAAATGAAGCTTAGCTTCCCGACAAGAAAATGATTTCTTTTATTATTGAATTCGATCATAATATATGGACGGAATCAATTAGTTTAGTAGTATAAAACGATTTGGGTTACCATGAAACTTTCAACAATATCAAACCGACAATCGACTATCATAGTTTTATGATAATTTCAGAAGTCGTGCGTAGTTCTTCTATATAGAACGCTAGTGCGGGGAAAGAACATAATATAATAGTGATCAGATTTTTTTTTATTTTAAAAATTACATATTTAGTAATTTATCATTTTATAATAAAATCGTAAAATACTATACTATTAACTAGGGGTGGGCGTTCGGGTATCCATTCGGTTTCGGTTCGGATCTATTCGGGTTTCGGGTTTTCGGGTTCACAAATTTTAGTCCCATTCGGATATTTCTAAATTGCGGTTCGGATTCGGTTCGGATTTTTGCGGGTTCGGTTCGGGTTCGGATAACCCATTTAAATTCTTTTTAAAAATTTTAAAATTGATTATATACTTTAAATTTCTAAAACTCTATAAAAAATAATATATTACAAATAATTGAATAACATAAGTCAAAATACCTAAAATTAACATATAAATTAGTTTGATTTGAATATTTGGATTGTGAATCAATTATTTTTTTAAGTATTTTTGATGTTTTGAGTGTAGCAATTTTAGATATGTATGTTTGACTATTTACATATATTTACAAGTATTTTGAATAACTTCAAAGTATTATATATATATTGAATGTTTTTATATACAGTAAGTCTAAAATAATTAATATATATAGGTATATAAATCTCTTTCGGATATATTCGGGTATCTGAAATACTTCGATTCGGGTCGGGTTTGGTTTCGGTTCTTTAAATATCAAAATTTGGAATCCATTCGGATATTAAATAAATTTCTGTTCGGGTTCGATATTAATTTTTCGGATCGGGTTCGGTTCAGTTCTTCGGATCCGGGTTTTTTGCCCAGCCCTACTATTAACGTATTTCAATTAGTTTAATTTTATAAAAATCATGTTTGACACTTTAGTTTATATTACACTACCACCTTATATTTTGTAGTTTTATACATTAAATTTTCGTAGAATTTGATTTTCCAACTTTCTGCTATATATATTAATTAATTCTTAATCAAATTATCGATAAAAAAATTAACATTTTGAACTAATTTGGACTCCAAATATATGAAATTTTTGTAAGAGTTGGACCAAATCCAATTTAGATGTAGAGTACCAAGACGAAGGCGGTTTAAGTAAACCGAACCATATTTACGGAGTATAAACCGAATAAAAAAACCAATCCTCACTCAATTCCTCCTCACACAAGCGCACACCAAAGCGGCACTCTGCGACGACACCTAGGGTTTTACGAGTGAAATCTCAAATCCATGGCGGACGACGATTACCAAGATGTCGACGATTTGGGGTACTCTCTCTCCTTCTCTCCCTGTTTCTTTCTCTTGTTGAAATTTCAAAGTTTAGAGCTTTAGTAAAAACCCTAATTTTTCTACAGAAAGTTCCAATTTTTATGGTGTAAAGATTTAGTCTTTTTATCTGGGAATCATTCGAGTTATGTTATATTTGCGAACCCATCTCTTGAAATTGCATGATAGGTACTGACATAGTGTGCAGGAGGTTAGAAAGAGAGCATACTCTGTTTTGTACAGAGTGTTTTCTTTTAGAGGTCTTGAAGAGTATAAAAGACGAGAGATTTAGAGGACTATGATTAATATTACTGTGGTTTTGTGTGAGACGTGATGAGTATAGGTGATTGTAGGGTTTAGCTTGAGTTTCTATTTGTATCTACTCTGTTTCTATCAATAAAGGAGTTGAATTGATTGTGTTCTGTAGGTATGAGGATGAGCCAGCAGAGCCGGAGATTGAAGTAAGCTGTTCTTTGTATCGATTTTGGACATAATTGCTTCTTATATGTAATTTTCTGATTCCTTGTTGTTGAGTTGTGATTAGGAAGGAGTAGAGGAGGATGCTGATATGAAGGAAAATGATGATGTGGATGGTGAACCTATTGAAACAGAGGATAAGGTAGAGGAGGAAGCTGTGCCACGTCCGCGTAAGACGTCTAAGTTCATGACCAAGTATGAACGGGCTAGGATACTAGGCACTCGTGCTCTCCAGATAAGGTCTGGTTTCAGCTGTTAATTCACCAAGTTGTTGTAATTATCCTCTGCTTATTATTTGCTTACTGTTTTTTTTGGGGGTTGGTACAGCATGAATGCTCCTGTGATGGTGGAGCTGGAGGGTGAGACTGATCCACTTGAGGTACATTCTCACTTACTGTGTATCTTTTTCTCTGTTACAACCTTTTCAAGAGGAGTCTTGATTAACTTAGTTATACAAAGAAAGCTAAAAGGTTACTTTGGTTCCTTAGATTGCAATGAAGGAGCTTAGACAGCGTAAGATACCTTTCACAATCAGGCGTTACTTACCAGACGGGAGGTGAGTGTGTTTATTTCATTTTACATCAAAACTTTTTTTTGTTTGTGGCTACCTGTTCACCTGTTTGATCGTGTTCTTTGTGTGCCCTCTCTTGATCAGTTTTGAAGAATGGGGAGTGGATGAACTCATTGTGGAAGACTCATGGAAGCGTCAAGTCGGTGGTGATTAATCAATAACATTACTCTTATCATGTAGCACTTCTCTTATGTTGTTATATGCAAGTGAATCAACCAAGACTCAAAAACATAGATTGCTGTAGTGTTTGAATGTTTCTAGCCTGCTTTAAACAGAAGCATTTTGGACATATATATCTGGTAACAAATCATATAACGGCTTAGGGCTGTCATAATATCCACATCTGAGTCCGATTGTACTTGGCCCAAGTATTTAAAACATAACATTTTACAAAATCCACAAAAACTGATACCTAGCTCGATTCGCACTGAAAACCTAATGAGTATTCGAACATATAAGTACTGAAAATCTAATGAGTATCCGAACATATAAGTATTAGTTACAATTATATTTTTAGAATTTTATTTATGATAATATTATCTAAACTTAAAATTATAAAGTAAAATATATTCCCTCCGTTTTTGTTATAAGTTTTGGCTATTTGCACACATTAAAAATTTTACTTAAAAAAATATTGAAAATGTAATTCAAAATTAATTAATTTAATTGTAAATAAAATAGTAAAAATACAATTGGTTACAAGATTTGACAAAGTTAAAGTTACCTAGGTATGTGAAAATTTCATCTATTATGAAACAAAAACAATCACCTAAAAACATCATCTATATTAAAATGGAGGGAGTATTAGTTTTTAGGTATTTATCGATATGGATGCTTTAGATACATAAAACCTAAAAAATTGTATCCGCAATTACTTTCTTATAAAATAATCAATTCAAACCATATTTGAAGAATATTTTTGATTTTTCAATTATTTTTGATAAGTTTAGATGATTTAAAACATAAAATATTTGAACTAAATCAGATAGTTTCGTTATAAATAGAATCCTAAACAATTATTTTAGTTATTTTCTCTTTTAAGGTTATTTTTGTGAAAATAAACTAAAAATGTTGTTTAAGAGAATTTTTCTAAATTAGAATCCACCTAGACCTGAGAGGATACAAGCTGATTGTTTTTTTTTATATATGAAAGGAAAATTTTCATAAACTGAAAAACCGATATCTGAAAAAATCGACCATGTATCCAAGTGGATAGGATACCTAAATGCTTAGACCTCGTGTTATATAAAATGGTCAACTATTAAGTAAGAACGAACATTACATTTTAGGCACGTTCTTGAAATTTATCAACTCATTTAAAAATCCAACGCCAAGAGTTTTTTTTTGAGAAAACAAAACTGAGTATCGATCCTACTAGTTCACCATAGATTCCTTTGGAGACTGACCAATGAGAAGTACGCACTCGTGGAACCCTTTGCCAACAGCGTCGAGTGGTTTCCACACTCCACCACCTTCCCTTATCCAAAACTGCGATCACATCACAGTTCCAACGCATTCATAGAGTTGACGGAGTACCCAACTTGACTAGGATTCTGAAAGATCTACCTGTTGAGAAAAGACAAGCCGCGGTGACCTCTCTTGTGGCGGATGCCTAGGTCTCATTTGTACTAATGTTGTACTAATCTCATTTGAGAAGATGATTTTTCAATTTAGTTAAGACTTTCCCGTAACATTATATATATGAGGAAGGAAATACTGGTACAACCAGTACAACTTTTCCAATTATGAAAATGTAAAAATTCTATTTGGCTTTTCAGATAAAAATAACAATAGAATAGACAAGTTGGAAGGTCCTTAGAGTGGTTCATCCAATATTTTGAAGTTTCACCAAAATTGTTTTCGCAATCATTACACACTGATATAAGTTTCAATGATCTACCTTATACTTTAAAGGTTTGTTTAATAGTTTGTTCACTATATTTTTGAAAGACATAAAAAAAATATATTTTAACAAAATTAATGATTCAATTGCATGTTTTTAAATAAATGAGAGTTGCACAACTAAGATATATATATTTAACTAGGTGTTTTGCCTGCACATGCGGGAATAATTTTCGTATAATTTATTATTAGTCTATATTTTATTAATTCAAACCAATATAATAACTTATGATTTATGTTTTAAAATTAATTTTAAATGACAACACTCACATAACAAAATATTTTTAAAATATATTTGAACAAATGTGTTGCTTTAATTTATTTTAATTAGAACTGTTTTGTATTTTAATTTTTTTATTTCTATAATAAAAATATATTTTCAAGATAACAATATAATACATAAGAAGTATTTTATTTTCTCAAAATATAATTTTAATAGAAATTGGTATTTATTTTAATAAATTTTATATGAAATTATTAAAATTTTGAAAATTATGAAAAATAATCAAAATTATCTAAATGATGGAGAAATTACAAATCAGATAATTCACTTAAATTTTATAATAGAAAATATATGTTCAAGATAACAATCTAATACATAAGAATTATCTTATTTTTTAAATCTAGTATTATTAGTATACATTCGTTTTATTATTTAATAAATTATTTATAAATTATTAAAATATGATAAATAAGCATAATATAAAACCATGGAGAAGTTGATAAATCAGCATTGCTTTCTTTATATTTAAATATTAATATTTTAACTTGTTAATATAATTTCTTTTTTACTAAATAATAATTTGTATATGAAATTATTTAAATAAGGCAAATAAACAAATTTACCTAAAATCAATGAGAAGTTGACAACTAAGCAAATTTACTTCTTATATAATAGTATAGATATCTGGTACAACTAAAATTTTTAAATTTTCAGTCAAAATACAACTATGTAGAAAGGTGTACAACTCAAAACTCGGTACAACTATGTATACGATTGTACAACTAAAATACTGGTACAACTACATGTTAATAAATTTATCACGTTTTAGTTTTTACTAGGGGTGGACACAAGGCGAATACTTGCTATTTTGCATGTACTTGCGACTTGACTTGCCTTGTACGAATAATAAAATTTTCGACTTGTACTTGACTTGTTTAAAACGAGTACTTGCTATTTCGAGTACTTGATGAAAAATAAATGATTTGCAAATCACTTGCCTTGCTCTATTACTTACTATTTACGAGTACTTGTGAACTATTTACGAGCTTTTCAAAATATTTAAGAACTACTAACTAAATAATATTATGTTAGAAATAGACATGAAAGTTTGTTTTCTTTATTCTACTTAAAGTAACATGTAAATTATTTTAAACAGAATATTTATTCATATTATAAAAAAGATAAATTAAAAAATGCATATTACGGTATATAAACATTGTATAATGATCACGATAACAAGAATATCTTCTCTAAATAAGTAACAAGTAATAACAAATCATATAACTAAATTTTTAATATTTGTTGCTGTGTAATACTTGACTAGATAACAACGAGTATTTAAAGATCAAGATTGGATACAAAATAAGTAACAAATATAAGAAAAGTAGTGAGTTTTTATGTCTAGTCCTAAATGCAAGTAAAAGAAAAGACAAATATGAAAAACTAATTAATAGATCATGTAACAAATAGCAAGTAATGGAACAAGTAACGGGGCGGAACGAGTCAAGTACAAAAAATAATAATGATACTTGATACTTGACTTAGTCTTGCAAGTAATGAAAATTGTCGCTTTGTTATTTGCCTTGACAACACCGAGTACGTTACTTTTTAAGGCGGGTACGAGTCAAATACCAAGTTTAAGGCGAGTAACGAGTAATGATGCCCAGCCCTAGTTTTTACCACGTTTTAAATGTGCAACACGTTTTAAACATGATAGTTGTACCTTCTTTTCTTTAATTGTACCAATTGTACCCGTCAGAGTAATTTTATATAGTCAATCTGGTTGTATTAGTTATACCAAAAACATGTCAAGTTCAAACAAGTTTAACAACAATATGACAAACAAAAGTACACTACTAAATCAGAAACACACAAATTTTAAGTTGGGCACATACAAAAGCAACACAACTACAAAAGGAGCATAAGTATTAACTTTCACAAAAGATCACCAACATCCAAAAAGCAAAAAATTTTAAGTTCCACATACAAGTGTTAAAAAGACACAAAAAATTCTTTTCAAGAAAATACTTCTTCAAATGAGAAGGCTTTGGTCAAGGCCTCTGCTGCCATCACTTCAAGGGTACAACTTAGTACCCTCTGATATATGGTCATAATTTTTTTTCCTAATTTTTTGTAATTTGTTTAAACAAAATTGAATATTATTACACAATTCTATAAGTTTACATGATATACCTTATATTTTAAGGCCTGTCTACTTTATATTAGTCATACATATTTCTCTGTTGTACTAGTTGTACCAATTACACCGGCCATACATGGTTCACGTTTTAATAATTTTGTGTGTTATAGTCTTTCCTTCTCTTGATGGAAGTAAAAAACACATTGGTATGTTACAAGTATTACCATATTCTTCTTGCATATGTATTTACCATCTTGGATCATCTCTTATCTTATTTTAATGAATGTAAAAATGGACATCAAGACGAGAAGATTACCACTTAAATGTGAAAATAGCACAGCTCAAGTGCTAGTACAGTTAAACTAGTAATATTACTAATGTATATAAACTCGTTGTACTAGTTGAATATTACTATTGTAGTCCAAACACCAAACATGAAGGCTTATGCATCTTTTTTCGAACTTATGATGATTTTTACCTCATTTTTGTAGTACACTCTTCTAAATGTCTTTATAATTCAACATTCCAGTTCTGAAACTATTTTCTTCGGGCTCTGGAGCAAAAAGATGAAGATGGATTTTGTTTTGAAAATAGTACAACTAGTATAACTTTTATAACTTGTACTCGTTCTAGTTATACTAGTTGTACTAATTGTCCTAGTTGTAGTTGTACTAGTTGTTCATGTTTTAGTTGTACTAGTGGTACCAGTAAAACTCTTATTTTCTTTGTCACGAATTTTTCATGATGAAGATGAAATTCGATTTCAAAAAAGAAGAAATAGATTTTGGATGATAGTTGACTGATCGATTTGGGGATAAGAACATGAAAACAAAAAAATAAAAATCTAGGATAAGAACACAAACAAGAATAACAAAGTTGGATTGTAGAAGATGGAGAAGGATGATGTTTGATTTCGGGATTTAGGGTTTTAAATGGGTCGGATTTCGGGTCAAAATATGAGTCTAATTCTAGGATGGATAATAGTGGCATAGGTTAGTAAATAGATTTAAGTTCTTAGGGGTTTTTGGTTATTTTACTTACTTTATATTTAAATTTAAATTAAAAA